AAAAGCAGAGGGAATTTCTCCCCTAGTCCTTGCCAGATCCTCCAGATATCATCGGCTGTTTGTACAGACACAGTCACTACACTTGACAGCAATTACCTGCGAAGTGCTTACAGACCTATTTTGACGTGTTATAAGCGGCTGTAAGCGGTGTTTGCTCCCTCTTCTCTCTCTCTCTCTCTCTCTCTCGCTCTTTCTCCCTCTTTTTCCTTCTTTATATTTTCGTGGCCCCTCGAGACGATAGTTCAGTTCATTCTGTGGCTAATGTGTCCTTTGAAAGTCCGGGCGGCGTTCTGGTGGTCTGTCGCTCTCGGGAACGTTGGACTTGCGCTAACTTCTGCTCGTGTTGGAACTGCGTGGAGTTGAGACTCAGTAGCCCTTCCCCCCCCCCCCCCACCCACACACAGACCAGATCACCGCTAGCTCCTAACCCCCCCCCCACCCCCGGCTTGCCCCGCTTCTCCACCGCTCCCTTCACCCAGTTCATAGCCACGGCCGCCACAGTGTAGGCCGACAGAATCACGATCGTGCCTCCGACCAGTCGAGACGAGACGCCCCGGTGGCTCACTTTCACACCCTCCTTCCGCGCCGCAAACATCCTCGAGTCGCGAGGAGCGTCCGCAACCCTCGCTCTGTGTCTCGCGACAGGTTCCAGCTTTCTTCGCCGATTCCCCTTCCCCCTGGCCGGGGCTGGTCTGCTCAGGCGCTCCAGCCTCTCGGCTATATAAGACCTGCTCCGCACATGCCTGTCGGCCAATTAGCGCCATTCGTAACTGGGTTAAAGCCAGTGACGTCAGTCAGTCCGCCGGTTAAGAGTCTAACCCGGATTATTGGCATCCCTCCCTGGCCTTGACATCGCTCGGAGAATAAACAGGAAGGTTGCACGTGCATCAAGCATCGCCGTACTGTCTCTCTCCCTCTCTCGCTCCCCCCCCTTCTCTCTTTAGTTTGCTGTTCCACACCTCTCTGTTTCCACCACTGTTTGTGGGACGCCGATGGGCGCAATTAATTGTCTGCCGCGTTTCACCCACAAAACACCCCGTCAATCCGCTTTAGAATGAAGCGCTTTGAGACGTCTCAACGACGTGATAAGGAGCTGATCAAAATGCAAGGATTATTATTATTATTATTATTATTTATTCTTTCCCCGAAACAATATACCAAACGTCTCGCTCGCCAGAAATTACTTACTGTCAAACACAGTGATGGGGGAAAAATGTCCCACCCACGGACAACCTTACCCAGGTGGGTGTTAAAGATACCATTCGGAATGAGAAGGGAGTTTGTCTCTCTCTCTCTCTGTCTTCTGGTGTCCTGGCCCCAGATAAAATCGCTCATATGCTTCATGGCTGTTTGCATGACTTTGCTGCGTGCAAATTGGTCGCTGCGTCAGCCCACAAGTACACAGCCACTACACTTGACAGAAGCTTTGTGAAGCACTTTGAGGCATTCTCGACATAAATGGTGCTTGTTACCAAATGCAAATCTATTTGATTAATCTTTCCGTGTTCTCTACATCATGTGTAGCTGTTGAGGGGATTGAGCACATGTGTGGGTCTGGCAGTGGAGTCCGGTAGCTCAGTGATTAGAGCGCTCGCCTTGCGAGTGAGTGACCTGGGTTCGATTCCCGGCAGGGCGAGTTTCCTTACTCCACAAGCCTGATAATAAACCCTCACGAAAAAAAACAACAATAATTCTGTCACTTCAAACCACAACTGTTTGTGGGACACTGCTGTGTGCAATTGGCTGCCACGTTTCGCCCACAAATATACAATCAGTTCAGATAAATACGCATTAAGGCAAATGCAAGGATTATTATTATTATTTATTATTATTTCAGTACCATGGACAGGTCCCAGTTCATCACAGGCCAGAGGCCATACTCTGACACCTCTATATAGTCTGATATTAACAGTGACACCTCTATATAGTCTGATATTAACAGTGACACCTCTATATAGTCTGATATTAACAATGAGCACCTCTATATAGTCTGATATTAACAGTGAGAACCTCTATATAGTCTGATATTAACAGTGACACCTCTATATAGTCTGATATTAACAGTGACACCTCTATATAGTCTGATATTAACAATGAGAACCTCTATATAGTCTGATATTAACAGTGACACCTCTATATAGTCTGATATTAACAGTGACACCTCTATATAGTCTGATATTAACAGTGACACCTCTATATAGTCTGATATTAACAGTGACAGCTCTATATAGTCTGATATTAACAGTGAGCACCTCTATATAGTCTGATATTAACAGTGAGCACCTCTATATAGTCTGATATTAACAGTGGGCACCTCTATATAGTGTGATATTAACAGTGACACCTCTATATAGTCTGATATTAACAGTGACACCTCTATATAGTCTGATATTAACAGTGACACCTCTATATAGTCTGATATTAACAGTGACACCTCTGATGACATGTATTAGCTCAGACTCGCATCACGGTGGGGGCTCCCAGTTACCAGCTATAGCCACCCAGTGGCGCCATTCAACCAGTTTCCAATGCACTGTATCAGTAGAGACCTACCGATGTAATGGTGTAATTGCAGGTAAACTGGAGCTGTTGCTGCAGGTAAACAGAGCAAAACAAAGAGTTGTTCCCGTTGCGTACACTGTTGTGCAGCAGCTAATTGCGCTCAGCAGTATCCCACATACAGTCGTGGATTGAGCGACCAAATTACTATTTTGTTTTGGAGGGTCAGTCCCCTCGGAAAGCGATCCACCAATTGACTCACAACCGGTTTCCTACTTACTGCTGCGTAAACAGAGGCGTGTGTGTCCGTGTGCGGAGTAAGGAAACTTGCCTAAGGTTTCGCTCTGACCTGACCCGCCCGGGAATCAAACCTCTGGAACTCCATCCCCAAATCACTTGCCTTCCTTCAAGGCCCATCTGAAGGCCTTCCTATTTGACTGTGCCTTCAGCCACACTCCCAATGGCATGCACTGCCAATGGCAACCTATGCAGTTTTAGTTGGTTAGACTCCAGCAGTTACCCCTCTGGGCTCCCCCCAAGCCTTGGCTCTTGCCAATCCGTGCCTAATACTTTCTGGAATTAGGTAAGTGGGATACGTCCCTCCAGAGAGTGTACGCTCCATTCCAACACGCTATCTCTAGGATCGCCATGTGAGTCGGTGGGATGTACGGAATTCAGATGCTGGTTTGGAGGCTCTTAAGCAACAGTGATGGGTTTCCACACGTGTCAGACACCCAGCTGAGAAAAAAAAATTACCCTCTGGGTAAAGAACTAGTTATAAAAGCTCATCGCAGAACCAGGACTAGAGTGTAGTCTAGAGCGTTTTTGAATTTCCCATTAGAATCCTCCCCCACTGCGTTCAGTAAATCCATTGACCGGTGGAGATTAAGGGCACCGAGGGAGACAGATTTATTGGTGAAGGAAGAGTCACCGCCCTTGTGTCTGGTATATTTCAGTTCAATGTCGAGGGATCCAGCTGGGAGGAATTACTCAACCCCATGATGCCAGGGAGATCAATTTGTGCCTGATGCAGTTGGAATGCCACTATAGCTGAAGCATCCTCGGCTAATGGCTGGGTTCCTCCACTGCTGTTAATTCAGGCCTCACACGCTGTCAGACGCCGTAACTCCTTCCAGCTGCTGCTCCCAATTATAAACCAACAGCCCTCGCTATTTAACCAAATGTATTCAGAGAGAGATGAAACGAGTTTAGAATAATGTCACAATAATCCTTGTATTTGTCATCTCGTGGAGACGTCTCAAAGCGCTTCACACTGTAAAGCGAGTTGACTATATTTTGTGGTCAAAACACGGCAGCCAATTGCGCACAGCAGAGTCCCGCAAACAGACGTGGATCGAGGGCTTTCTGTGGACGACGCAAGCGAGAGGGGCCCAGGTTCGATTCCCGGGCGGGTCAGGGCAAAATCTTAAGCAAAAGCCAAGCGCCTGTTTACCGAGCAGTAAGTGGGAACCTGGTCAATTGGCTTTTCCGGGGATAATAATCCCTCCTCCCCCCCAAAAAATAACAACTTGGTCACTCAATCCATGACAGTTTGTGGGACACAGCCGTGCGCAATTGGCTGCCGCGTTTTGCCCACAAAATAGTCAATTCACTTTACTGTGAAGCGCTTTGAGATGTCTCAATGATGTGATAAGGCGCTGGATCAAATGCTACGATTATCATCATGTTTTTCTACAGGGCTGGAGGGGGTGGGGGGTTTGTCTTGGACCTGAACGGGTTAACGGGCATTAATTGAATTAAATTCTCTGGCAGTCTCGGTTGGGCTGATGACTAATGCATGAGGATCCGGACATATGTCAAGGTGGGCTTGGCCTGGCTCCTATTGGTTCTGCGGAGCGGGCCAGCTGATTCCTTGTTTTTTTCCCTGCTACTGTCTGGCTGCATGTGTGGATACGCAGAGCTGAGCTGCTCCGTTCTGCTCCATCCCGTTCCACAGAAAGCCCTGAGTCACGGTTTGGCTCGGTGTAGTGATCGCCGCAGAGAGAAACCAGCTCGCCTTCCTTCCTCCCGCACTTCAAAGGTGGGGGGGGCGGCCACCAGCCCAAGCCAAACCCTGCGGGTTCCTGCTGCATTTGCTCACGGCATCTCTTTCTCCATCTCTTCTCTGCAGCCAAAAGCTCCAGAGGATTTGATGATTTCAGCCTCCGAGGACTATTAGCGCCCCCCCCTTCCCCCCCCCACACCCCCCTCTCTCTCTCTCCCTCCCTCCCTGGAGAGGAAGGATGAGTTCCCCTTCCCCGCTTGGATTACCCCTCCCCACAAATTGCTCAACTCGCTTCAGATGCCCTGCCTCACTGTGACTTGTCTCTCGGACGCCTCTCCCCACCCCCCCACCCCCCGCCACCCTTCCCCCCCTCTCCATCAGTGAACAGCTGAGCCCATCTCTGCCTCTGGCCCTCTGAGAGATTAATAGCTTGTCCTGTGAGTGTCAGTGGCCGGGCCTTGGGTTGAAAGTTCTTCCTCGTTCGTAGATCTTGTTTGGGGGGTGAGGGAGGGAGGGAGAGGGAGACCCGAGGGAGGGGTGTATTAGAGGGTCTGTTGGAACTTTGGACGCTCCATCCCGGAAATCTGATGGATTGACGGGGCAAAGGAACCCGGAATGTCCCCGCCCTGGCGACAGCGATGGATGATTCCGACGTGGTGAGACGACGGAGAGTCCAGGTGAGTCGCAAACTTTTTGCAGATCGCTGCGGCGATTAAACGTCCGGCAGATTTCCCCCCCCCCCACCCCACCCCACCCCCGCCCTCCTTTATAGTAGACATGGAATTAAAGGAGCCGGGCCCTTGACAAGCTGACGTAGGGAGGAGGTTGTGGTAGATGGATGGATGGGGCTATGCAGTTCTCTTTAATGCTGCGTTCTGGCCAGCCCGAGACTGGAAGGCAGATTTACTGGGGGAGGTGATGAGGCGTTGGGTTGAGATGTGCTCAATAAAAAGCATCGTGGGACTCGAGCCGCAATATAGGGGAAATGGGGTGGGGGTTGGAGCGTAGCCAGACTGTGCATTAGTCTCTTGCTGGTGGTCTTAAACCTATTTTTTATATATAGATATATATACACATATATCTTTCATTTTAAAATCTCATAAAACCTCCATTTCGCCCGGCATCAGGAACTAGGAACATGACATAAAAAGCACAGGTTGCGATCAATCCCATGTATTTTTTAAAAAAAAATAAGCCAATAATTAAGTTCGAAACATCTGAATTGCCGTGAAGCGCAGTGACTGTGTGTTTTGTGGACAGGCGAACGAACAACGCAGGAGCTAATTTGCGAACAGCGACACCCCACAAATAGCCACAAAGTGATCACCTGATTTTACCTTGGGGGTTGTTGGCCCGGACACCGGGAGACAGAAACTCTCGTCTGTTTTCCAATAGCACCGCGGGATCTTTTAAATGTCTTTTTGAATGGGCCTCGGTTTAACATGTGAATATACTCAGCAACGTGTGTATGTCTGTGTGAGTCCTTGAGTGCGTTATGTATTTACATCTCTACGATCTCGGTCCCTTTTCTTTTGGAGGAAAGATTATTTGTTGGGACCCGACACCGTCAGACCATAAGGTGGCAACCTTCTCAGAGATGAAATCTCTCCCAGTGAGATCGAGCTCATTAGCGCCTCCCTGGTTTGGTGATCAGTTGGTTGAATTCCAGTGGTACCTCCTATGGTTGACCAGTCGCTGGCATCGACAGTGTATAAATACTCCTAAATAGTGACTCTGATAACAAAAATAATCCTTAGGTTTGACACAGCGCTTTTCTTCGGGAGGACCTCCCAAAGCGCTTCAGAGGATTTTACCGTCTAGTCCAGTAAACCACATGGCTTGCCATTGAGAGCACTGTCTGGCGAGCTTTCCTGCTGCTTGTCCATCTGGGAACACCTGGACAAGCGGGGGTCAGCAGCCCTGTGCGTCTCGATAATAATAATTCCTTGCATTTGACAAGAGCGCCTTGAGACGTCTCAAAGCGCTTCACAGAATGTGGAGTGTATAGTGGAGTGACTGCGTATTTTGTGGGAGGAACCCGGCAGCCACTCGCACGCGGCAGTGTCCCACAAATAGCTGTGGAGTGAGCAAACTATTTTTGTTTGAGGGGTTGTTAGCCAAGAAACCGGGGGAAAGAGAGAGATCCAGAGGATGGCACCTCCGACAATGCAACCCCCCCCCAGCGCTGCACTGGAGCATCAGCTTAGACTGTGTGACTCCCAAGTCCTGAGGTTGGGGGTGAAACCATCTGACTCTGAGGAGAGCCGGACCATCTTTACTGTCCGGCTGATTCCTCCAGTGAGGGTGGCCCACGCCATCTCTGCAGCGAACTTGACAAGACGCCCGCCCTCGGCGACATTTTGCACCCTCCCTCCCCAGCCGTTTCCGGAGGTCCGTGAATCGAAGGTTGCCTGGACTTTTGAGTAAAGTCAGGTGATATTAGCAAAAAAAAACGTTCCAAAGGCTCCGCCGAACCCATCATCGAGGGCTCTCCAGTTGTCTTGGCAACCGAACACTGTTGTTAGTCCATGTCTCCTGGAAGCGCGGCTCCCTGATTGTCGGGGAGCGAGCTGCCGATCTAATAACCGCTTCACCTTTTGGAGCCGAGAGAGAGAGCTTCACTTCGGAGCATTCCCAACTGTTCCACTGTAATGACAGTAATCCTTGCGTCTGATACAGCGCCTTATCACGTCTTCGAGACGTCTCAAAACGCTTCACGGGACACACTGTCAAGTTAATTGACTGTATATTTTCTGGGCAAAACGCAGCAGCCAATCGCACACAGCAGCGTCCCCACAAACTGTCCTGGATTGAGCGCCCAAATTAATATTATTGATTTTTTGGGGAAGGGATGATTACCCCCGGAAAAGCGATCCGCCTATCGACTAACAACCGGGTTCCTACTGACTGCGGGGTAAACAGACGCCCGAGAATCGAACCCAGGTCCTCTCGCTTGCGAGGTGAGTGCTCAAACCACTGAGGTACAAGGACTCCACGTGATGTCTTACTCCCGGAGAGGCCCGACTCCTTGTGTCCAGGTTTCACTCATAGTTCAAGACCTCGGGGTGGGGAATCCACTGCTAACATTACCTCTCCCGCACGGTCCTCACTAGACAGGCTCCTGACATCTGGTTCAGATGGACATTCAAGATCTAGTGACACTTTTCGGAAAAAGGGAGTTTCTCTCTCTCTCTCCTGGTGTCCTGGCCGACAATCCTCAAATGAAATTGGTTCCTTGATTTACTGATGGTCAAACGTCCAGTTATCCGGGGTGGGGGTGGATTGTTGGGCAGGACATTGGGAGAAAGAAACTCCAGCTTGATTCACATAGCTTTCTGGGAACTTTTAACAACATCTACTGTACTGGGGGGTTAGCCTATCCTGTGTTAGGGGTGAGGGGAGTAACAGGCACAGCGGGTAAGTGGAGTGGGACCGAACAGAGCACTAACAGTTGGTTAGAACGGATTACCCTAATGTACAGTGGCTTTGATCTGTTAAAGGGTATTGATCGGACATACTCGCTTGTTAAAAGCATTTTGGTAGCTCGGATCCAAGGCAGAATAAATTACACAGAAATGTTCGACATTGATACAATCTGCTTCAAGATTTAATGCTTCAAGCCTCGCCTCTCTTCCGTTTCCAAGTCCGCAATAATATTTCAGACTTGACGGATAACAATAAACCTCACACTCGATACACGCCGACAAGGTCAAAAATAGCTTCCAGGGCGCTTTAGAGAGATCTTTGCATCAGGTCTAGTGACTAATCATGGGCAAAACTTGGGGAGTCCTGTAGTGTAATGGTTAACGCAAGCGAGAGGACTTGGGTTTCGATTCCCGGGCAGGACAAAACCTTAGGCAAGTTTCCTTACTCCACACACCTCTGTCTATCTAGCAATAAGTAGGAATTATCCAGTTAGTAGTCCATTGGTGGATCACTTTCCGGGGTTAATAAACCCTCTAAAAATAAAATTTAATGTTTGTGGGACGCTGCTGGGTGCAATTGGCTGCCGCGTTTCTCCCATGAAAAAAACAGTTTAGACTTTCCAAGACAAATTTTCTTTTGTCTAGAATGGAATGCGCTCGCGCTCTCTCTCTCTCTGCTTCCTTGTAGAAGAAATGGCCGAGAAGCAAAAAATAACTTTTTTTTTCTCTTGATTTCAGAAAGACCTCCCGTTGACACGGAAAGCGAGCAGGTAAATCACACCTTCTGCGATCTCAATACTTGTGAGTCACCTTTCTTCAGCAGGGTACCGCGATTCTTGAGGGAGATCTCAAGTAAACGTACATGTTCATAAGATTGGTTTGGTTTAAGAAGAAGACCCTTTGGGCCATCTGGTCGCCAGAAAACCCACCATGCTGTCCTTCCATCATCAAGCTGCTTTTTCAATGAATCACAGTGTCCTGACCTCAACCACCCTATACAGCAAACCTGCTCGTCGTTAATTACCCTCTAATGTGTGGACTAATGATGGGGCTGAAAGGTGTGTCCCCAATACTATAAAACAGTTGTTTGTCCAGCTCTGATAAACGCTCTATCTCTGTGGTTAGCAGTTACTGGCCAGAGACAATCTGGCGATCGCAAACTTGTCAACTCAACTTGTAGTTACACAGCGCCTGCCTATGTTTCATCTATACTGGCTGTCCGGCTGTCTGAAAGTTGGTGAGGGATTACCCAGCAGCAAAAATGGCGGGGGTTGGGGGTGATGGTGGGGTAGCTGGAGGGTCAGAGTGTCGTGAAAGCAGGAAGGGGGACACAGGCCCAAGGGAGAGTCCCTAAATATTGTGGCAGAAGGTTTGGCCGAGGTGGATGAAGGGACGTAGTATGGTGGAGGGAGGGTAGGAGAAACAAGCAGCTGGAGATTGCAGAGGGTTGGAGGGGGGGTTGAGATGGTGGAGGAATTTTCTGCATCCACCCTCAGTGTTGTGTCCAGGCAGTCTAGGCAAACCCACACAGGGGTTAATAGCTTCCAAAGCCTTGAAGCAGGAACGCTCAGCTGGACATCAATAGTAAATAGACGATGTTTGTTTGAAGTTTCCTCTGTGTTCAGACAAAGAGACTGCGCCCGTCGCTGCAAATTATTCTCTCTCATGAATCTTTTGACATTGAGTAAAGTGAAGGAGTGTCTACAATCAGGACGAAGTGAGCACGGGTAGTCTCGTAGCGAGAGGACCAAGGTTCAATTCCCGGGAAGGGCGAAACCTTACACAAGTTTCCTTATTCCAAATGCCTGTTTATCTTAGCAGTAAGTGTGAATCCAATTGTCAATTGGCGGATCACATTCGGTGGTGGGGTGTGGTGATAATAATCCCTCGAAAAAAAAAATTAGGTCACTCAATCCATGACCGTTTGTGGGACACTGCTGTGCACTGTTGGCAATTGCATTTCGCCCACAAAATATACAGTCGTTTTAGATCATATTCTGTGAGACACGTCGATGATCTATTGTAAAGTGTAGTGAATATATATTTTATGGGCGAAACACAGCACCCAATTGCACACACTAGTGTCCCACAAACAGTCATGGATTGAGTGACCGATTTTTTTTAAGGGATTATCCCGAAAGCGATTTTTGAAATAAATTAAGACTAAGTTTCAATTGTATTTCTGCGCTGCCTTTCCATTTTAGGCAGAACGGTTAATATCCGGCACCTATGATTGGGGAGCAGTCTATTCTCCCACCTTCTCTATTCCCACCTTTAATTCTCTCATTCTCAATTACTTTCCTTAATTCTTTCCTCTCTCTCTCTCTCTATCGTTCATCTTATTTTGCATAATAATAATCCTTGCATTTTATATAGCACCTTATCACGTCTCAAAGCGCTTCACAGATATACTGTAAAGTCGAGAAGACTGTATATTTTAGTTATTTATTTCACTCGCTCCTTTTCTACATTGAGGGTTCAGCCCCGTCGCCATAGATCCCGTCACCTGACAACCCCCCCCCCACCAAATCTAAAACATGGGATAGGTACCCTAGCTCCTGGCCCAGCCTGTGAATTAATGTTGAAAACATGAGCGATAGACAGCAGGTTGTGTGTAGAACTTGGCATCTGTAAGCTTCACTGCACATTGTTCAGAAAGCACAGGAAGGAGAGGTGGAGGAAGGAGGAGAGAAACAGAGAGAGCTTCCAATCTGCGAGCAATATAGCACTCACATACACCCCCCCAACAGTGCTGGTGGAACAATCTGGCAAGCACATCCAGAGAATTAACATAGCCTTTCTCAGTGACGAGCAGGAGATGTGTATTACAGTCTGCATCAGCACCATGTCAGCGCTGAAAGACCATGTCTGACTCTCTCTGGACTGTACTGTCTAATTTTTCTATGCCTTACTTCCTCGACAGCAATATGTTCCGACGTTCCAAAAGGTAAACTGATTTGGGATGGGCAAAGGGCTGGGGGTGGGGAAGGATAAGTGGGCGAGGTGGAGGGATGGAAAAGGCAAGGATTTCAGTGCATCTTACACTGTGTGGTTTGTCACTGTTGCAAGATGCATCAGGAGGGAGTTAATGCCCTGATATTTTGCAGGGAAGGGTTGCATTGTGTCGCGATTGTCGAGGTTAGCTCTGCGATCTACAAAGAAAGAGCTGCGTGCACAGGCTGCGATAGTGGCAGATGTCCTCTTTCACCAACCGCCACCTCCCCCCCCCCCCCCCCCCAGCACCTCGTCTTTCTGCCGCCTTTTCCTTTTCTGCTAGAGAATTGAAAGACTGCAAAACATCACTAAAGCGAGACTCTATCGTGACCCCAGGGTGCGACCCTGCCTCATTACTGAGAGGAACAAAAGATTAGCAGAAGGCGGAGGTGAGCCTGTTGTTATTCCCTGCTGACCTCCACCCCTCTCTTCACAGTCATTTCTCTCGCAGTCTGCAGCCTTTGCCAGAATGCATTCTTCCAAAGGGCACAGTGTAGAGAGAGATAGAAGGATGGTACGTGACTAAGTGGTACCCGGATTCCATCCCTTGCTAGTTGCCCAGAATATATATGCAGCGATTGATGTCATGGAGTCCTGTAGCGTAGTGGTTAGAGCACTCGCCTCGCAAGCATGAGGATCTGTTTCCGATGCCCGGGCGGGGCAACACGCTCGGCAAGTTTCCTTGCTCCAGACACACACATCTGTTTACCTAAGTCAGTAGGAATCCCGTTGTTAGTCGATTGATTGGCGGACCGCTTTCCAGGGGTCCCTTAAAATAGTCGTTCGGTCACTCAGTCCACGATTGTCTGTGGGGCACTGCTGTGCGCAGTTGACTGCTGTGTTTCGGCCACAAAATAGTCAATCCACTTTACATATATTCTGTGAAGCGTGTTGAGCTGTCTCAACAATGTAAAAAGGCGCTATATATCAACTGCAATTATTATTATATCTTCTTACACGTTTTTTCTAGCCAGGAATGGGATATTTATGCCTCCGCACCCCCCAAAATAGTCGCATTATAACAGGGTCCAGCAGTTCGCACAGCCATTTGCCTGAATGTGCCAGGTATCCTTGCCTTTGAATAATCAGCGTTTACCACAATCCACTGGGCGGTGCTCTGATGTAGCATAGCGTATGATGGCTGAATGAGACAGCTTTAACCTTCAGGCTGTATCTGGCCTCAGCTGTCCTTTTTTTCCTCTTGTGTAACTCATCAGATACATGTTGCCCTCTATTAATGCTGCACTGTGCAGTGTCTGTAGAAAGTCATTTGAAGTGAGAATCTTAGCTGATTCCCTCCGAGCCCCCCACCCCAACTTAGCCCCAGGTCTCATGTATATCAGGGAAAGTGACCAGTCCCATCTCCAGCCTGACACCGAGCCGGGGGGAGGGAAGAGGTAACCGCAAGCACGGTCAAAGAGGAAGGTCTTCAGTTGTGATCTAAAAGAGAGGAAGGAGGGGGCGATTGTGAGAGTGAGGTGGTGGTGGGTGGGGGGGAAACAGCCAACGACTATGGAATTGTCATGATTCGGAGGAGAAAGATTCGACGATCGCACACCTTCAAGAGTGTGTGTGTGTATGTGGGGGGGGGGGGGGGGGGGAGGCGAGGGAGGGAGGAACGAACGTGTCTCTAGTATTTGAAGCTCCGCATGCACTAAATGATCAAAGCAGATTGTTTGTTCCCCTGAAGAGGGTACGTAGCTGAGTAGCTGAGCCCCTTCGCTGAGGCTGATGGTTGTGACTGTCTGGATTTTGCCAGCAGCCTGGGCTCAGCAATCTGGCTTTGCAGCTGTGATGTGTGAGCACCTGCGTTCCTGTGCATCCATCCACGTGTATGTAAGTGTGTGCACACGTCCCTGAGTTTGTGTAAGTGACCAGATCCAGAATTTGATAACAAGGTCATCTGAGATGAACAAGCCCATCTGATCTCAGTCCCCAACACATCTGCCACACTATCTCCCCCTACTCCCATCCCAACAAATGACATTTACGCAGCGCCTTTCATGTCAGGAGGACGTCCCAAGGTGCTGGACAGTCAGGGATCCCGACCCAAGATGGTGGTTGAGATCAGGAGCGTGGGGAGGGTAGGGGTAGGAAGGTGACCGAAGGCATGGTCGAAGAGGGTCTTGAGCAGCTTTTTAAATGAGTCCCGAGACTCAACCTTCTCTTCCAGTCGTTGATTACCTTCCTGGTGTCTGTCCTGAAATTTCCCGTTTGCAACTCTAAACCTGTGTCCTCTTATTCCACTGTCTTGTTGTTGACTGTTCTCCTCGGGGATGAGAGGAGGTAAGTGGAGTCTCCTTGAAGCTGAACTGACTCCAAGGTTTGGTAATGGAATGTTGGAATTGAGCCAGTCCTCTGTGACGGTCTCTAGTCCGGTTCGAGACAGGCGGGTCCGCAGTTTGCTGATGACAGAACAGCCCAGCCTGGCTCATCGGCAGGACTTGGAAGGTCAGACCAGTCAATATGGGAGCAGGGAATTCTCTCACTCGGTGGAAATTCAGATCCTCACATTCTTGCCCTTTTCATTCCAGTTGTCGAACCAGCAACAGGAAGAGTCTGATCCTGACAAGCACGTCTCCAACTCTCCCGCGACCTCACTCACCTCTGCCCGGACACCTCGGTAAGTGTGTATGCGTGTGTGGTTTACAATCGTCAGGACTTGAACTCATATAGTTTAAGCTGACACTCCAATGCCCTCCTTGCTGGTCACCCGCCCCTGCTCCACTGTACCCAAAATTCAATTAAGAACTCCACTGCCCGGATACTCACCCGCAATAAACATCACACCAGTCCCTGAAAGGCTCCACTGGCTCCCAATTTCCAAACGGATTGATTTTAAGATCCTCTCATTCATTTTCAAATCCCCTCATGCCCCCACAACCCCCTACCTAGACTCCGCCACTGTCAAGCGCTCTGGGACCTTGTAAGTCATTACTGTTGTTGAGGCGCTGGGGTGGGGTGTTGCATTGTCGGAGAGTTTTGGTTGAGATGTTAAACCGAGCTCCCTGTCTACCTGTTCAAGTGAATGTTAAAGATCCCATGGCACTATTCAAAAGAGGGAGTTTCTTTTGCCTCAGGGTTTACTTACAAATACAGTCACTCTATTTACTGTGAATTGGCAAGAATGTTTTTTTTTGTGCATAAATGCAGCAGGCAATTTTCACACAGCAATGTCACACAAATAGTCATGATGTGAGTGACAATTTTATTTATTTGGGGGATTGTCGGCCAGGACACTGGGAAAGAGAAACTCCCTTCTCTGCAGAGAAGTGAAAAAGGCATTCAGCATCTCTGCTCCCACCCTCAGGAACTCTATCCCGCAATCCCTCCACCTCATCCCCACTTGTCTCATTCAAGTTCCGTCTAAAGACCTTCCTCTTCGACCGTGCCTTCGGCCACCCTCCCACCCCTACTACCCCTGCCCTCCACCCCTCCTGACCACAACTCCCAGCTCAGGTCCAAAAATAGCTGACTGTCCAGCGCCGATACGTCTTTCCAGCGTGAAGGGCGCTACACAAATGTAATTGTTGTATTGTGTTGTTGACAATTCATTAACAAGGTTACAAAAGGTTGATACCTGGGTTTGAGGGCCACTGATATTTCATGTGCTTTGTCCCATTGGCAGGCAGCAGCCCTTTAGACAGCCCTCGGAATTTCTCCCCCAACGCCCCAGCACACTTCTCCTTTGTCACCTCTCGAAGGTAAGTTGCCCGTATTCGTTGGTGAGGGAGCGGGGTGCAGCACTTATAGGGTTAACAATGCTCTCTCTGCCTGGGCTGAGGAATATGGAACATGCTGGAACACTGAGGAAGCTCTTCAGGGAACAAGAACAGAAATATAGGACATTCAGTCTCAAGAGCCCAGCGAACTGCAATGAGCGGATTGGTTAAATCCTTGTACGTCTGCAGAAAAGCGGTGAGATGGGGACGGTTTAAGGGTGGGTTGGTTCTGACTATGACTAATGTTCTATATTATATATATATTATATATTATTATACATATACTATTATATTTGTGGCTTAATGGTTAGAGCACTCACCTCGCAAGCGAGAGACCGGAGTTTGATTCTCGGCAGGGAGAAGCATTACGCAAGTTTCCTTACTCCACACACACACACCTCTGTTTATTTAGCAGTAAGTAGGACCCTGGTTGTTAGTCGATTGGTGGATTACCTTTCCAGGGATAATATTCCTTAAAAAAATTGGTCACTCAATCCACGACTGTTTGTGGGACACTGCTGAGTGCAATTGGCTGCTGCGTTTCAATTGACTTTACAGTATATTCTGTATCAAGGTGATAAAGTGCTGTATCAAATGCAATGATTATTACTATTCTATTATTATAAGCTCTTTCCTGGTGGGTTACAGTTACTGAATAGCCCCTGTTTCTATCTCTGGGAAATCCTGCAGCTTCAACGTTGTAATGTTCCCCACCTTAAGCCTTGCAAATTTGCCTTTGAAGTTATGAATAAATGTAATGCAATTTTAAATTATTAATAACCTGGCATTATAAATATAATATAAAATTGTAATTTTTTCTTTTACATATCGCTTGATTTATTTATAATCACACAGGCACAAGCTGGAGAGGCATAACTGAACAGGTCAGTGCTTGTCTCAGCCTGACTCAGTCTGTCACTCTCATTTCTAGGTTGGGAGGTTTAAGCCCTCAAAGTCGGGGACTTTGAGCTCACAGTCCAGGCTGACATTCAGTGCAGTGCTGGGGAAAGCACTGTATTGTTGGAGGTGCTGTCCTTGTATCACTTTCCCACTTTTCTCTGTTCAGATGGATGTTGAAGGCAGTTTTTCCCCATGTCCTGTCCACCTGTTCTCACATGCCCACTAAACTAGCCATTCCGTTAATGACTGTGTGTAGGGCCTCACTGTCACATTTGCCTACAAATATATAGTGACTGCACTTGACAGCAATCACTATGATGTTTCAGTGTTATAAGCGCTATCATTAGAGCGGGTCCACCATACTGCAAGACACTACTAATGACAGACCAGCCAGCTTGGCTCATCAGTTAGGACTTAAGAGGGGCACTGGGGACAGAGATTCTTCCCACTCACCTCCTGTTAGCCATGTAAGCCAAAGCACTAACAGGGTGGTCCAATCTGGACATGTAACAGCAAGTTTGCCAGATATTGCTCTCAATGACAAGCCATCTGGTTTTAGCTGCTTGAACTCGAGCAATCACTCCCAATATACTCTGGGGTCCCCCAAGCCCTGGCTGTTGCCAACCTGCTCCTGATTCTCTCCGGAATTACGTAACCAGAGTGCGCCCCTCCAGGGAGAGAGTGTGCATTTCGTTCCAAAGACGGGAAGATTTCCATGTGTAGGTGGCGGTCACATGTGGAACTCTCAGTCGGGTTCAGATACTCACAAGCAAATTGAGGGATTTCCGAGCGTGTTAGACAAGTGAATGGGTAACATGGAGTGCGCAGAGCATTTCTCTATTCTCACGCCGTTGTGGTTCTAACTGTTCCTTTCTTTCTAGCCAGGGACATCGAGCTGACAGGTAAACTAACTGCAATCTGTGTCTAGGTGTGGCAGGTCCAGTGCTGGGTTCTGTCAATAATGTTTTAAGATGGTAGCAACCTTGGACTTGTGGTTCTGAATTAGTTGTTCTTCCAGTTGTTGGTGTCCTGTACAAAGCTTTAACTTACCTTCTTCCTCCTCCTCCTTCTCTCGTGTTCTGTGTGCTGCATGTTAATGGCTCGTGTTAGTGCCGTTTCTTTTGTTCAAGAGTAGCCAATCGAGAAGTTGTGGGTTCAAGCCCCATGTTGGGACTTGGAATCACATTGTCTATGATGCTGCTGCAATGCTGTGCTGGGGCGTGTTGTAATGTCGGAGGCTCTTTCTTTGGATGAAACGTTAAACTCAGGTCTGCCTATTCAGCAGAGGTTCATCCCCCAAATAAAATTGGTCACTCAATCTACGACTGTTTGGGCGTCTCTGCTGTGTGCAACTAGCTGCCATGTTTCACCACAGCAAAATACAGTCACTCCACTTTACAGAATATCCTGCGAAGCGCTTTGTGACGTCTTGACAATGTGATGAGGTGGCTATATCAAATGGAAGGATTCTTCTTCTCATTATCCAATCCAATTAAGGCTAAAGGTTTGTGTGTGCTTTTAAACTGTCTCCTCTTGTTTTGCAGGGCAGATGGACGACGGTGGTCACTGGCCTCCCTACCATCCTCGGGCTATGGAACCAACACCCCAAGCTCCACTGTGTCCGTACGTAGTATCTCTCGCTCACTTTATTAATGTGATAAGAGTTGTTCGGTGGATAGGGCTGCACCTTCACCTGCTGAGAGCTCGCCTTCTTTGAATCCACACTGAGTTTACTGCTCTACTTCAACCGCAGAAGGCTAATTCATGCAGTTCTGTAAGCGTAGTAGTTACCACACTCACCTTGCAAGCGAGAGGACCCGGGTTTGATTCCTGGACAGGGTGAAACCTCAGGAGAGTTTCCTTACTTCATACAGACAGTTTACCTAGTAAGTAGGAACATGGTTGTTGAGTGGTGGATCGTTTTTCTGTGGGTAACAATTACTTTTAAAAAAATGTGATCACTCGATCCACAACTGTGTGTGGGAGGGACACTGCTGTGTGCAATTGGCTGCCGCGTTTCGTCCACAAAATATACAGTCAATTCACTTCACAATATATTTTGCGAATGCTTTTAGACGTCTGAACAATACGATAAGGCACTATATCAAATGTAAGAATTATTATTATTATAATTCGGCCCTGCTTGAGGAGGGGAAAAAACAGCCAAGGCTCCATGTTTCAGGTCCCTCCACCGCTCCTGGTGGTGAAGGGTTTGATTGATTTTTTTTTTCTGAGCTATGAGCTTCTGATATTCCACCCTCTCTCTCTCTCTTGCAGTCTTCCTGCTCCTCACAGGAGAAGCTCCACCAGCTGCCCTACCAGCCCACGGTGGACGAGCTTCACTTCCTCTCCAAGCACTTTGGCAGCACGGAGAGCATCACTGATGATGACGGGGGCCGCCGCTCGCCGGCAGTGCGCCCACGGTCCCGGAGCCTCAGGTCAGTCGGTCCCTGAATCCTGCTCACCTTTAAACCCCTCCAGCTCCTCCCTACCTCCAACCAAACTGTCCACTCCCTCCACTCAGCAAGCTCCAGCCTCACCTTGCCCTCCCCTCCATCGGCAGTCAGGCCATCAGCCTCTCTGCCCCCATGCTTTGGAACTCCATCCTACAGTCAACTCTGCCTCACTCCCACCCTTGCCTCTTTCAAAACCTGCCTCAAGTCCTTCTTCGTCGACCTCACCTTCAGTCAGCCTCTGCTACCCTCCCCGCCCTGATACCAACCACCAGCTCGGGTGCAGATCCCCGACTGTCCATCACATTGGGACATCCTCCTCAAGTGAAAGGCGCACTATGTAAATGTCATTTGTTGTTGAATCTCAGCGCAAGATTCCTTCGTGGCCATTTCCCGTCATGCTCCCAGATTGTGCTTGTCCTAGATTCGGATAGTTCCACACATCAGAAGAGTGGCCATTCAAACCATCGCACCTACACTAGTTCATAGGAATATAAGTAGGCCATTCAACGACAACATCTTGCATTTATATAGCGTCCCAGAGCGCTAGCCTATTCCACCATTCTATTAGATCATGGCTGATCTGTAACTCAATTCCATTTACCCGCCATTACTCCATATCCCTTGATAGTTGATGCTTCAATCCACAATTGTTTGTGGGACACTGCTGTGCACAATTGGCTGCTGCATTTCGCGAACAAAATATAGTCACAACACTTTACAGTACATCCTGTGAAGCATTTTGAGACATCTTTGAGACATGATAAGGCACTCAGTCAAATGCAAAGATTATTACCCCCCTTACCTGACAAACATCTATCCACCTCAGTATTGAAAATTTCCATCCACAGCCTTTTGGGGGAAAATGTTCCAGGTTTTTACTCCCCTTTGTGTGAAAAAGATTCTCAGATAGAGCTGTCCATTCTCCACAGTCTCACTCTGATTGTGTAAAAAAACAAATTCTGCTTATCCTCTTTCTTTGGTATGATCTTGAATTGATGTTTTCTCGTCCCCTAACTCAGGAAAGTGTCAAGTAGCTCACCATTTCCATCTCCCAAGACAAGCGTCCTTTTAACCTACTGAATTTGAGGTTGCTAAAGCGACAGATAGATATTTGGGGAGGACACATGCAGGGCTATGGGGGAGAGCGTGGGGTAGTGTAACTAATTTGGGCAGCTCTTTCAAAGAGCCAGCACGGACATGATGGGTGAAATAGCTTCCTTCTGTGCTGTATAATTCTATGACACATCTGTGTCCTACAGGAAGAATTCCTCTCGAATGTCCTGAAAGGGTTCCTGACGGAGCGAAATCTCTGCTCCCCTCCTAGGCGTCTCCCATCCGTGGTTGAGCTCATTGTCAGCAGGCAGATGGACATCTGCTCAATAATGAAACAAGCCCCCATTTACAAATAAGTCTCGGTCTATCTGCCTGCACGCCATCTCTTGAGTTTTCGGCTCTGGATGAATATTTCAGCACTCTCCACACAGACAGCTCCTCAAATATAGTGCACTCTGGCGCTGTGCTGCTCACCAGCGATTAATACTGTTCAGGTCATTGGCTCTGGAAATGAACGAATGTAGATCTGTGAAATGAGACTGAAAGGGTATAGTGAGGGCAAGTATTGCGAGCGATACCAACACAGAGGTCTGAAAATTCACGCAATCTTAGCCTTAAGCCCGTTGTCCTACAATTTTAAAAAAATTACCCACAAAATACTTTCCAGTCAAACAATTTTCCAGTATATTGCATGAACGATGATTTGATAAGGCATTACATCGAATGCAAGGATTATTATCATTATTGAGATGGTGCAAGATTTGCAAAATCCTTAAATTTAACTTGGAAATCGCTTTTCCAAAGCTTTTAATGAGAATCAATCCAAGATGGAAATTTCCAAAGATTTTTCACCAGCTTAAATTGAAGACTGAGGCTGAGAAAGGTCTCCTCCTGATCTCCTTGCAAGCAGTGAGGAAGATGTGAGTTTGTTTTGATAATGGGGATATGTGAGAAACACTCTTCCTCTATCCCTTTCCCTTGCCCCTTCATTCCCCATCTTCAGATCGCGCCTAAAGACCTTACTGTTTCTACTGTGCCTAGTCACCTTCCCACTCCCGCCAGCTTGGAGTCTTGAACTGCCCTGGGAAGTTATAATGCATATTGTGTAAATGCAAGTTGTTGTTGTTTACCATTGGAATTGTTTCACACACAGTCTCATGGTACTCTGGCTTAACTTGCACTGTTCTGTGTTACAGCCCCGGACGCTCACCTTCATGTTACGACAATGAAATCGTGATGATGAACCATGTCTACAAAGAAAGGTTTCCCAAGGTGAGATGTACAAGATGACGTCCGTTATCACAGAGGTCACCACCAGTGGTTAACTCCTTTTTGCCCTGTGTGTCACTCTTTTGATGAGAGTATTGCACCAGCCTGGTTATAACACATTTGGTCACCACCGGCTGCCCTTGGAGTAACTGGTCAGATTTGACACAAATTGTCCTCAGGTGAAGAATGTTCATCACTTGCAGTCATTAACTCACACACAAACCGAGTTGCAAGAAATTCCAATTGTAAGCAGTTTCCCCCTCCCCACTGGCAAAGCGAAGAGTGTTTTAACAGGAAATAAGAGTTTCTCTCTCCCCATGTTTTGGCCAACTATCCCTCCCCTCCCAAAATAAAATTGGTCACTCACTCCATGACTGTTTGCATGACATTGCTATGCACTACTGGCTGCTGCGATTCACCTGCAATATAAGTCAATCCACTTACAGTATATCCTGTGAAGCGCTTTGAGACGTCTCAATATAAGATGCTATATCAAATGCGAAAATTATGATATAAATTGTTAGCTGAGGTGTTAAATGCAGGCGTCAGCAGCGAGGCCATGGAGCGCTTTGAAAGCGAGGACCAGGATCTTGAACTGTATCCTCTGAGTGATGGGGAGCCAGTGGACTCGGGCGAGGATGGGGGTGATAGGGTCGTGTATAATCTGCAGCCCGTGGAGGGAGGAGTTGGTCATCTGGATTAGATGGTCACTCACCTTGTGACTGTTGGTGGCACTTTGCAGTCTCTACACTTGGTATTAAATCCCTGCAAAGTGCTCTGAGAGGTTCCAACATTATAAAGATGCAGGAATTGCTATGTTCTTGTTTTCGGTTGCGTTGGCAGGCAACGGCACAGATGGAGGAGAGGCTCCAGGAGTTCTTCACGGTGAATGCTCCAGAAAACGTGCTGCCCCTGGCAGATGGGGTCCTCAGCTTCATCCACCACCAGATCATCGAGATGTCCAGGGATTGTCTTGACAAATCCCGTGAGGGGCTCATCACCTCCCGCTATTTTTACGAGTTGCAGGAGAACCTGGAGAAGCTGCTGCAAGATGTGAGTTCATCCGACAACTCCTGACCATTCCCCAGGTCCTTCACCTCTTCTTCATCCCAAATATCTCGTCCCACACACTCTCTCTCCTCTCTGGGTTAAACATTCAAACTCTGTGGCACCAATTCCCTCCTCACCCTCCAGTCTGCCTGAGCTGACATACAACACAGCTTACATTTTATACAGCATCTTTCATGTCAGCAAGACATCTCAAAGCACTAAATAGTACTGGAGAAGGGCTACAACAGAATTACGCCCACCAACCAAGTAGCACTTTTAACTGCAGTTTGTGAAGATCCACCGTGTACTCAGAACGAGAAGCAATCGATCCCCCCTTCTCTCCTGTCCCACTGCTCTCTGCAGCCCCACCTCACACATCTGCTCTCTGTCCCTCTCCTAGGCTCACGAACGCTCTGAAAGTACAGAGGTCGCTTTTGTGACCCAGCTGATGAAAAAGCTCCTCATCATCATTGCACGGCCTGCCCGCTTGCTGGAGTGTCTGGTAAGCCATTTTGCTTCACACAAAGACAAAGAGAGTTCTTCACTTAGACCCAATGTTGTGTTCTCTCCTCCCCACCCCTCAACTAGTAACAGGGAGGAAAGGACGACACAACAAATTAGATGGGGGGTGGAGGATAATAAATGGGTTGAATTTTAGGTGAATTGGAAACAAGAGATTGGAACAGCGGGCAAACCGACCTCCATCTTTGCTATTATTGTGGGGAGAGGGTTGGGAAGACCTGCCTCTTTGTCTTACATATTGATCTTCACATCACCGCAGAGACTGTCACAGTATGAGTTGAGAGTCGGACTTTGGCTCCTAATTTCACTCATCATTAGTCAGCTGTGTGTTTTAATTGAATAACAGGAGGGGCAGCCTTCCCTGTGGCCACAGCCTGTGTGTGTCTATACCTGGGTCATGCTCTGAACAAACCTAGTTGATTATTTTCACAAAGGCTGCCAGTGGCGATGGCTTTAAAACTGAGATAACCGAGTGTCTGCTCCAGTAATGAGCCTCCTGAAGCCAAGAGCTTACAATTCACTAACCCATAAAATAATGAACTGAAACCCGTCAACATTCGTGACATTCATAATTTACAGGCTGGCAGCTGAGCTCACAGCTGGGTCACCAGGGAGTAGGCAATTCTGTTCCAAGCACATTATTGCCAGGAGACCTTAGCTTGCTGACAGGCTGGTGGTGCTCAGAGATACACTGAATGAGTCTGTCACTCTGTGGAAGGAATTAATCCGTGAACCCTATAAACTTCTTTTACCGCTCGTTGAGAACCAAGGAGAAAAATGGATTAAAAATCGGTCGTTGGAAAATGCTTTCAGAAACTAGTTCAAGAGTTGGGCTCTTGCCATATTGAAATTCACTTTAAAACATTACCCCTGCTCTTTCGTTTTTCTCCTAGGAGTTTAACCCAGAGGAGTTTTACCATCTCCTGGAAGCAGCCGAGGACCATGCCAAGGAGGGACATGGGGTTAAGATCGACATCCCACGCTACATCATTAGCCAGTTGGGCCTCACCAGAGACCCTTTGGAAGGTAAGGACCGGGAGCATTGAGCGGCATTCCTCATAACCAGCATAAAAAGTGCCAAATGATGGCTTCATTAAACACTTTTAATGAGATTGCGAGAAGTGTGGTCAGTCGATATCTTAATTATGGACCGGGGAGGGGGAGCCCTTTCCCCCTCAACTCAACAAAGCCTAAAGCAGCCTAAAGGCTGAATTGTTCTGCCTGATCACCAAGTGCTCTCTAGATGCTGCCCCGTGTGAAGGCCACTATATAAATGCAAGTTGTTTTCGTCGTTACGTGCCGGTTACTGGCTTAAGACACTGGCTTATAACACTGATTTGACGGTTTACAAGGCCCGTTTCAGTCCGCACGTTTTTTTCTTTGGTTACTAAAATTAGCGAAGCTAAGTCTGTGGAAACCTATTAAAGAGTGAATGTTCCTCAGAGATGTGATACTCAGTTGCAAACCTCAGGGGGTCCTTGCTCCATGCTCTTGTGTTTTTGAAAGCAGAAATGGCTCAACTGGATACCCTGGACTCCGGAAGCTTGAATGAGACAGATGACATTGGAGATGTGAGTCACATTATATCATCATATATTTCATGTGCATTGCTCAGGTGAGAGCACTCTCTCCTCTGAGTCACCCCAATCCTCTCCCGGTTCCACTAACTCTCCGTCCCTCAGAGGATCGAGTTCAAAATCCTTACCACTTTTCAAGCCCAGTCATGCTCCTGCCTACGTCAGCGACCTCTTAACACTATACTAACCTGTCTGCTGCCTCCATTTGGCAGGCACTGGCCTGATCCATGTCCCCTGCCCTTCCCGCTCCACCAATGGTGGATGTGCCTTCAGCTTTTCTGCCACCACCCTATGGAATTCTATCCCCGAATCCCTAGCCTTGCCCCCTTCCTTGCCTGCTTCAAGGCCCTCCTCAAGAACTTCCTCGTTGACCATGCCTTCCGATACACTCCCACTCCACTACCAGCTAACCTTCGATTCTATTCCGCAGCTCAGGTGCAAACCAGCACCTTGGAACGTCCTTCCGACGTGAAAGGCAGTATATAAATGTGATTTGTTGTTGTTCGTACAAATTTAAAGTATTTCTTTATTTATATTATTTTTGTCTTAATTGCTTAATTATTAATGACTTTCCAAATACAGAAATAGTAAACAATACTCAAACAGCATATATAGAACTCTACGAGGCCTAAAGCAGTTGAATTGCTCTGCAAGATCAGAGTTACCAGGCACCCCAAGACGCTGCCCTGCGTGAAGGGCGCTATATAAGTTGTTTTTGTTGTTATGTTAGCAGGACACTGGCTTAACGCTGGTTAGTTTGCAATCTCCCTTCAGTTCTTGTGGGCTCACCAACAAGATGGATTAATGAGTGAATGTGGTGTGTGGTTACTGGTATCCTCTGTGGAGACAGTAGAGAGCTGCTGTTGAGGTTCCTGTCTGATCCCTTTAACGGGTGGTTTCAGGGTAGAAGTCCCGCAGCAAAGTCTACGAAAGCACCTTCTGAGGATGACTTTGAGACCATTAAGCTGATCAGCAATGGAGCGTACGGGTAAGTAAGTGGCACAGTAGATCGTTCTGAAATTGTCACTGCCTCAAGTACAAATTTAAGATGTTCACAAAAAGAATTAAAGGGGCGGTTTAAAAAAAAACCATTTCATTGCACAGCCGGTGGTGGGTGGAGTGTGGAATTCTCTGCCAGAAACTATTGTCGAAGCACAATTTGGTAGATTAATTTAGAAAGATAAGGGAGTATTAAAAGATAAATGTGAAGAGCAGCGGGAGAGTGGAATTACATCGGATGGCTCAAATGGAGTAAAACACCATTGAGGAACTTGATGGGCCAAATAGCCTGTTTCTGTGCTGCAACAAAGTATAGAGATTAATTTGCAATATTTACAAACGGGATTTGATGTGCTAGCTGCGAATTTGTAAAACAAAGTGTTACAAAAGCAAAAAGCCAGCCGGAGAGAAAACGGCCCATGGTACTTTCAGTTGAGAAATATGGGATGAATGTCTCTTCTTGTTGGTTTGATGGCATTGGGAGTTCACAGTATAATCTAATACCAATGAAATCATCACGCTATGATTGGAAACGTCAGGATTAATGGGCCACATCGGGCCTCATTTACTTTGGGCGAGATGGGCATGTCCAATCCCGGTTTGCTAAGATCGATGGTCAAACTGTTCTATCCACGTGAGAAGCTGCCATTTTAAGTGGTGATTGCCTTTGTTTTCCCAGAGCCGTTTACCTGGTGAGGCACAAGGAGACGAGGCAGAGATTTGCCATGAAGAAAATAAACAAACAGAACCTAATTCTCCGAAACCAGATCCAACAAGCTTTTGTGGAGAGGGACATCCTGACCTTCGCTGAGAACCCCTTTGTGGTCAGCATGTTCTGCTCCTTTGAAACTCGGCGGCATCTCTGTATGGTAATGGAGTATGTGGAAGGTGAGCAGATTTGCCTCTTCCCTTGCCCTGGAAAGGTGGAGTACATGAGAATAGGAGAGCACATAATGAAGTGAGCAAGTATGCCTGAGCAAAATAAACTGCTGGTTGATATTTGAGGTCCACATGATATTTATTGCACTGAATTGGCTTGAAATAAACTTTCCTACTTCCCTCGCCCTCTCTCTCGCTCCTCCCAAAATCAATCCCAGTAAGAAAGCTGGAGAGGCTGAGTATATGCATGGTGGTTGGCAAATAAAAAAACTCAAACTTGTAAATGGAAGTATATTTTGCACTCCGGGATGGGCTGAAATGTTGGGTGGTTTGGCTGTTGCAGGGGGAGATTGTGCAACATTACTGAAGAACATCGGGGCATTGCCTGTGGATCTCGCCCAAATGTATTTTGCAGAAACGGTCTTGGCTTTGGAATACCTCCACAACTATGGCATTGTCCACCGAGACTTGAAGCCAGACAAGTAAGTCAGTCAGTCTCTTTGCAGTGGATCCTGGTAGTACATGTGTGTCAGTGTGAATGAAGCGTGAGATCTAGGCCTAGGAGATAAGTTTTAATCAAAGCCCAAGTCTTCACCAATTGTGAACGAGAGCTGTTAGAAATTATTTCGTTATCGAAATCTCTTGGGAAATCAATGTCGATTTCAAGTTGATGTGATTTTCCAGATTTCACACTTTTAGACTGAGTCAGAACCGGGATTTGAAGTCAGGATTTCCAGCCCCAAAGACAAAAGGAACGATTGGGGAACACTTTGCATTTACGTGTAGAACTTTAGATAAGAGTGAATATTAGGATTGTTATTTCAATACACAAGGAAATGGTCAGTTACTGGGGGTGGATCATATAAATTCAGCACCACTTATTATCTGGTTAGTTTAACTGGTGGCTAATCTCATCTTAAATTGGGATTTTTGTTTCTGCAAACTCAATGGCCAGCCTGACTTTTTTCTTGATCTAAAGTCTGTTGATCACATCGATGGGCCACATTAAACTGACGGATTTTGGGCTCTCAAAGATCGGTCTGATGAACCTGACCACAAACCTGTATGAAGGTCACATTGAAAAGGATGCCAGGGAATTCTTGGATAAGCAGGTGAGAATACGCTATGTTCTTTGGTGGTAGTTGAGGGGGGGGGATTCTGTAAAATCCCAATCAGTGTTACAGCAGACAGTTCTTCCATACTGACACATGCATGCTTCAAAGCACAAAGGCAGCTGATTCTATTACGCTTCAAAATGCGTCATGATGCATTTATATTTTATGAAGCGGCACATCATGATACGAAGTTCGATGAGTTAGAATGAAGCTCGTCATCTGGTGTAGTTGGTTGTATAATAAATAAAGTGTTCCAAAATCAGACAATGCATATCAAATTGCCTGGGAGCAGAGTTTTCCAAAGACCATGTTGTTTGCTTGAGCTGCCCTTCAGAAGATGAACTCACTAACCACTCCTTTTGCCAGTTAGACTCCATTCCATTATCTGGCTAGTTGGTGCTTCCTGTAGTCTCTCGAGGACAGCCCACTGTCTCTTAGCCACCTGGCCTGCCATTCTTCACTGTGTGGGAGTGAGTTCAAGGCTATAATTTAACTTCGAGTACAGGTGACAGCTCTAACCCATTTAAGATGTGCTGTCAGGGTTTATAGTAATTCGTAACCCCGTTGATTTGATTATAGGCTTGTTCATGCCAGGAATCCTTTATAGTCAAGTTACAACCAGTTATTTTGAGGCAGCAGTTGTGCTTGATTATATTTTAGATGTCTTGAGTTTTATATTCGTCAGGAAATACTTTTCCTTTGGAACTTAACTTTTATTAAAGATTCCATCGTGAACGCATATGAACACTGCAGATTGCACACCAGAGATAGATACCACTTCCGACATAACTGAAATCAACTTGTATCCTCACCACCGGGTGTATTGTAATCTAATCAATGTAGCAAAGATTAACAGCTGCATTTTATTACTGGAACCTCGTGTCAGTGCCACTGTTCCTCCAAAATACCAACAACAATAAATTACACTTGTATAGCGCCTTTCACGTCAGGAGGACGTTCCATGGCATTGGACAGTCAGGGATCCGAACCCGAGACTGAAGGCATGGTCGAAGAGGAGAGTCTTGAAATAGGTCTTGAAGGAGGCAAAGAAGGTGAGGCTATTAAAACCAGAGAATTAATTGACACCTGGGTTCAAATGGTTACGATTTCATATTGAACGTACAGCTTTCTGGAAGTACTTGGCTAGATTCTCCTGAGTCTTTGGGACAGTAAACCATCTGACACTCTGCCTGTTTGTTGCAGGTGTGTGGAACTCCTGAGTACATCGCCCCTGAGGTGATTCTGCGACAGGGATATGGAAAACCGGTCGACTGGTGGGCTATGGGCGTCATCCTGTATGAGTTTCTCGTGGGTTGTGTCCCGTTCTTTGGCGACACTCCGGAGGAACTGTTTGGTCAAGTGATCAGTGGTAGGTTTTTTGAATCCGGGCTGGAGGATGTGGAAGGATACAGTGTGACTGATGAGGGTTTAGTCACTGTATGCTGTAGGACGAAGATAATATGGTCCATCTGTATTCAGCTTCAATAATCCTTCTCTTAACCATCCAGGCTCTAATTTACAGCTTGAAAGAGGGGGTATGAATTCAAAGCCAAGCAGTGAAAAGACAAAGGGGGTCTAATTTGCGTTTTAAACATAGGAGCTTGTGATGTGTGCATTCAGTAAGTAATCAGATGTGAGGGTGTGTGATCCAGTTTCACGCTCTGCATTTCCAAATGTAAACAGAGTGTGTGCACCTGCATTACTCTGAGCTCCACTGACCCCAGCAAATCTAATCCTAACTTCAGTATGAAGTGCAGCAAACATGGATGTGATTAGTTTAAGATGCAAAAAGACCAGGCATCTTGTATGGTGATTGTGCTTTCAATAGGGAGATGTAACTGGGGTTCACTTTTGTGCAATGTGCTCACACTTTCGCTGCTCAGACTTAAACGGCCAGTCATTGCTAGTGTATACGTTTCATGCCTGTTGTTAACTATGCAGAAGAATACTTCTCTTATCCAAAAGCAGGATGTTTTCAAGAAAGGAATTGACTAACAAACATCTAATTGGGCTGTTGGCTACAAGACAGACTAGAAACATCCCTTCTATTTCCAGTGGGCTTCACTGTAAAACTGAGTTTCTTTGTCTTCAGATGATATTGTGTGGCCTGAAGGAGACGAGGCTCTCCCTGCAGATGCCCAGCACCTCATCTCCAGTCTCCTGCAGCCAAATCCATTAGACAGGTTGGGGACAGGTAAGCCAGACCACACACAGTGCAGTAACCAGATTAAGGAGGAATGATCTATTGTCGTCAAGTATAAGTCTTGCAGTGTAGAGCTATAGCAACTCTTATAACCTGATCTCTGACTCGTCTGAGCAAAGCATTCCCGCAACACTGAAACCTCATGTGAATAAATCAATGGCTGAGGAACAAGGGCCGACCGCAGACGAGATTTCCAGCCACATTTTAAACCAAATTAAAGCAGTAACAGGAATGGATTTTTCTCGATTTCCTTTGCAACTCTTACACACACACTCGCACACTGTAAGCTCTGAACCAGAATAAGAGCATAATAAAAGCGTGGACCAGGCATAGGCGTTCAGCCTGTGAAGCCCAATAACAAGCCTGTTTCATTTAAGTGCATTTTCACAACGTTTTTCTGTGTTAACTGTATCCTGCCTTACATGTAACTCATCCTAATTCACCTTAAAATTCAAATTAACTCATCTCATTGTTGTTTGTCGGACTCAATTAGCTGCTGCATTTGCTATCTTATAAATGACTGCTTCAACTTTAGCTGTATGATGCCAGTTGACTCTGTAAAGCTATTTATAAGTTAACACTCGGCTTCAAGAGCTATCACAGTTCCATCACATTAAATGAACAAATTGTGACAAAATCACTTCTTCAGCTCCATTCACACAAATTCCAATGTTATAATCTTTTCCTGATTCTGCAAATAAAAATCTCCAAAGCTCTTTTAATTCCCGTTAAGATTCCTCGCTAACTCCCTTCTGGAGGCCATAGTGCTGGCTGAGCCCCGCTGTCATTTTTCTTTTTCGATTACCTGCCATCATCCTCGTTGCCGTTCTTTAAATCCTTTACCAATGTTCTCTCTGCCTTTTCTCACGCATCTAGAACATCCCATGAGAGCGGGAGTTGGTTGCAGTGTTAAAATCAACTAACATAGATTAAATTCACTGGAACATCTCATCCTTAAATAGATCTCGATTTGTCAGGGAAATGGGATGAGTCTTCAGCTGAAAGCCTGTCAGCTTGGCTCAGTTAGTGGACTCTTACATCTGGATCAGAATTTAAGACTTGAGCTCACAGTCTTTAATAACACTCCAGCCTCGTGGTGGGCGGGGCTGCATTGTTAAAGGTGTTGGATGAAACCGAGGCCCAGTTTGACTGTTCAGGTGGACGTAGAAGATCACGTCGTCGATCCAGTTGAAGCCCTCGGATACATTTGATCTCATCCTTCCAGAGACAATCCATCTTACTCTTCCTCCCATCACAGCATCAAGCTGTTGCTTTAAATGAATCCAGTGCCCTGGCCCAACCCTTGCTTGGTGACCTGTTTCTGTCATTGATCACCTCTGGATAAAGGAATACTTTCCTCTAAACAACGGAATTATAGGAATGGTTCTAAACAAAGTAGCTGCAGTTATCTGGGATTATCAGGCATGGTTATCCTCATTCAAATTTTTATCTTTCCCCCTCTCTCTGTAGGTGGCACCTATGAAGTAAAACAACATGGTTTCTTCAAAGACTTGGACTGGACCAGCCTACTACGGCAGAAGGCAGAATTCATCCCACACCTGGAATCTGAGGAGGATACCAGTTACTTTGACAGCAAGTGCTTTCCTAATGAATCGTCCATGTTGGGGAGGAGGGGTTAAGACATAATAATACAAGAGCAAGTTGACTTTTTATTGAGGCAAATAACCTGTTCCTCACCCTCTCACTAGTAGCGCCTGGGGATGTATTCTTATTTCTTGAAAGGATGAAAAGTGTGTTGTTTGCAACATGTAGATTATGACAGAAATTCAACAGTAGACGACAAACTCACAGCATCCACTATAGAGGAGCAATTCTTCCGAACTGAAAGAAAGAGCCCCATATGCTAAAACCCAAGGCCCAGAAAATTAATAAATGTGAGAGCATATAATGTACCATATATCGTCGTCGTATTTCCCCCCCACCCATACACATTATTAAAAGCTACTCAGTGGACCTCTGTATATCCACACACCTTGGCTTCGCTGCTATTTGGCGGTCCGTGAGAGAATGATATAATAATCCTTGCATTAGATATAGTGACTTATCACTCAAAACTGTAAAGTGAATTGACTTTATATTTTGAGGGTGAAATGCAGCAGCCAAATTGCGCACAGCAGTGTCCCACAAACAGTTGTGGACTGAGTGACCAATTTTTTTTTGAAGGAATTATTATCCCGGAAAGCGATCCGCCAACCGACTAACAACCGGGTTCCTACTTATTGCTAGGTGAACAGGCGTATGTGTGGAGTAAGGAAACTTGCCCAATGTTTTCCCCTGCCAGAATCAAACCCAGGTCTCTCGCTTGCGAGGCAAGTGCTTTAACCACTGAGCTGCAGGACTATAGCTGGTGATGAGGGAATGACTGAATTTTAAATGCTAAAAACTCATTCTACTACCCCTTTCTCCCACAGCTCGGTCAGACCGCTACCACCACGTCAACTCTTACGACGAGGATGATACTAATGAGGACGAACCAGTGGAAATTCGACAGTTTTCCTCCAGCTCCCCCAGATATATTAAGGTACTTTGTACTCCCCTACCATCATTCAGCAGTCTATTTTAAGTGGTCTTCATTTCTATGTACATTAACATCCTTGAGTTTGGGTTCTGCCAATTTAGTATTAGAGAAAATGCTAGACGTTAGCAGAATTTTTTTTACTCCCTTGGGACATTAAAGTCAGGGGAATCTGTGTCAGTGTGGTTCAGTAAAAGGAACCTCTCTTGCGTTGACTAGTTTGCGTGTTCTTCTTTGCGTTGCATGCCTTACATACGACAGCAGTTTAGTAACAGCTGATAAACAAGAAGCTGTAGTGACACTTACAGGCCTTCAGTAGCACTGCAACACCAATAACTATTGAAAAAACACCATTTAAATTGAGACTGAAATTTAAAATGTTCCCAAATTAATATTAATACATAAACACGTTGCGCCTCTCACAAAGGGAGGGTGTGAATGTCCTATAAGGCTAAACTTATAAGTGATTTCCAGCTTCTGATGCCAACAACAAATTACATTTGTATAGAGCCTTTCACATCAGGAGGACATCCCAAGGCGCTAGAGGTGAGAGGGTGAGTAACAGGTTATTTGCTACCGCTCTTGGTTGAGGGCCAGTGTAGGGATATTCACATTTGAAATGGTTGAAATTGGGGTATTTGTCATTTCTCCCACTGTGAACTTGAGCTGCTCTCCTGCTCTCAGCTCTACTTAAAGTAGGTCTGATGTACGCAGGTTTACAGCAGCATGGAGCGCCTCTCCCACCACGAGGAACAGAAAGCCCCAGTGGTCACCAGACGTAACCTGAACAAGCATAAAGAGGAGAAGAACGACAAGATGGAGGGGTTGGGCTCCATCAGCAGCCGGGAAAAGAACTGGAGGACGAGCTCACCGGAGATGTGAGTAACACAGTGAAGCCCGTTTTCTCAGGCCTAACGCCAGCAGAGAGCTTGACAGAATGTTATATTATTTCTTGAAAGGAATAATGGGGAAAGTCCTGAAATAAAACTAATAAATTGGTCACTTCAATCCGTGACTGTTTGTGGGACACTACTGTGTGCAATTGGCTGCCGTGTTTTGCCCACAAAAAAAGTAAATTCACTTTACAGTATATTGTGTGAAACGCTTTGAGATGTCTTGTAGACATGAAAAGGTGCTTTATCATTATTATTTATTATTACTCCCCATGTTAATGCCTAGCTAGTTCAGATCAGCATTTCACCCTGCCACATTGTGCCTCTTCTTAAAGTGGCCATTAAAAAATCTATTGATATTATTGGGAAACAGAAAGGGGTTCCTTCCAATGCCCTGGTTAACATTCCTCCACGTGAAATAGTCAATCACTACGTGGCTGTCTGCATTGGGACTTTGCAGTGTGCAAAATGGCTGCCAAGTTTGCCTACAAAAATGTCATTCAACGTGACATTCATTATTAATAGTAATAATAATAACCTTACATTTGGTATTAAGCACTTAAAAAGACGTTTAACATTATTGAAGTTGTAAAAATGAAAATTCTTTCTTTCTGATCTCATTTGGTGCAGGAAGCGGCTCTCAGCGTCGGAGTCCTCCTACACAGAGAGTGAATCCAGCCCACCACTCACTGTACGACGCAGGTTTTCTGCCCTCATGGACACGCACAAGTTTGCCACCCCCCTGGAGGATGACACGGAGATGACCAGAAAACATCAAGAAGCCCAGACTGTGAGACCAGTGCAGGATCAGGTCACCCAATCAGAGCAGAAACACAGAGAGGCGGAGGGAGGCGGGTCATTGACAGCTGGATCTGCTGCGAGCAGTCCAACATTCCCAGGTATCAGTGTTCCATTATTTCATAGCATGAAAGTTTCTCATGATGATTGGCCAACAGTCTTGTTCATGCCCTTCACGGCTGTTTGTGTGTGTGAATTGGCTCGTTTACATAGATACAGACATAGAAACAGGAGTAGGCTATTTATCCCTTTGCGTCTATTCTGACATTTTATAAGACCATGCTGATCTATACCGCAAGTCTAGTTACCTGCCCTTGTCCCATAATCCCTTAATACCCTGACCTAACAAATATTTATCTTCCTCCATCTTGAAAATGTGAATGGATCCAGCGCCATTGTATTTTGTGAAGAGTTCCAGATTTCCACTATCCTTTAGGTTTCTTTACAACAATAAAATTATATTTGTATATACAGTGGACAGCTCTGTGAAAGGCCTTGAGACGTTTGACATTTAGGTGCTGTATCAAATTGCAAGGGTTGAAATTTGTTTTTATTGTGAACGACAAAAGACTTTCATCTCCTTGTGATTTTGTGATGTTTTTCCAGCAGTGAAGTCAAACGAAGCTACCAAGGAAGCCGATTCGTCTTCGACCAAGGCAACGAGTGACCTGGCTGTGCGTCGAGCTCGGCATCAGCAGCTCTCAGGGGACACTGCGGAAAAGCGTACCTCCCGCCCTGTCAATAAGGTCATCAAATCGGCCTCTGCCACAGCTCTCTCCATCATGATTCCTGCAGGTAAGGGAATCAGGCTTGTAGACCGTTCGACGGCAGCATTCTGCCCATTTGAGGAAGATAAAGTGGAGTCCTGTAGCTCAGTGGTTAGACCGCTCTCCTCGCAAGAGAGATTTGGATTCGATTCCAGGCAGGGTGAAACATTAGACAAGTTTCTTTACTCCCTACACCTTCTGTTTACCAAGCAGTAAGTAGGAACCCGTTTGTTAGTTGATTGGCGGATCGCTTTTCCAGGTGTAATAAACAAACAAATTGGTTACTTCAATCCATGATCGTTTTGGGACAATCGGCTGCCGCATTTCGCCCACAAAATATACATTCCCTTTACCTTTATCCTGCGAAGATGCTTTGAAACTTCTCGAAGACGTGATAAGACCCTATATCAAATGCAAGTATTATTATAACAAAATGGGAACGAATGAAGGCTCAACAGGAAGCCATTAGATAAAATCCATTAACCTCCCAGACAATACCTTGTCTTCTGGTCTCCAGATTGTAAGTAGAACCATCTTGTGCCTCTCTCTCGAAATAGAGTATTGGATTCTTGTGAATTAGTCTCCTCTGAAAATTATTCCCCCAGAAATCTTTACACACCAGAATGGCCTGTGGTGTGATTCCTGCAGCTTAAACCTGTTTTTCCAAACCTCATTGCTCTTCTTCCTCCCTCCCTGCCTTCAAAACTCTTGTAAAAATATATATTTTTGATTCTGCTTAGGTTAACTTGTCTTTCCTTCTTCCTGTAACTAGTGTTAAGCAGGTTAAATCATTCATCCATGTGAAATGAGCTGTATAACTTCAAATTGTGTTAGATGCAAGATATTGGTCTGTATTGAGCTGATCATCTCACACCAGTATTAATTAGGTGAGCCTCCCCGTCATGTTGTGTTGCTTTTTCGCCTCCCAGTGACCAGTAATGTAATTGCTTAACAATTTTAATAATAAGCCTTGCATTTGGTACAGCACCTTTCACCTCGGGAGGTCATCACTTCACAGGATATACTCCTCAGTGCAGTGACTGTATTTGTTGGCAAATTTGCACGCCGCAATTTTAGGACAACAGCTCCCTGTAATGCCAGTGGGTGGTACATTTAGCAACGGAGGGGAGACCTCGGGGTGATTCACCATGTTTAGCCTCTGGTCATGTCAGTTCCTACACCTGTCGGTCACATCTGAGATACAATAACCCACTTGTCACTGATGCTGATTTTTATGTGTCTCAGCCCATCCCACTCTCCCTATTTTATATCCAGTAGAGCAGCATACAAGCTCGCCGCTCGCAAGCCCCATGTCACCTCGGTCGCTGTCTTCTAATCCGTCTTCAAGGGATTCCTCGCCCAGCAGGGACTTTTCGCCGGCAGTCACCAGCCTAAAGTCTCCAATCACCATCCACCGATCGGGGAAGAAGTACGGCTTCACACTGAGGGCCATTCGTGTCTACATGGGCGATAGCGATGTGTACAGTGTGCACCACATGGTCTGGGTGAGTACCGTAAAACAGACAGGTCACAGGCCTGGATACACCAGAAGTTGTTCTCTTCACTATCCACCAAATTGGTCACTGAGCCCTTTTCCCTTGGAGCGATGAGTTATCATATGTTCACTGTATCTTTAACATCGATCAAAATGTAAAATTATTTGTCCCAAGCTAATATGTGAATATTTCTGAGCTTTGCTTTCCTTACTGCAGCACGTTGAAGAGGGGGCGTCCGCTCACCAAGCTGGGCTTTGTGCTGGAGACCTGATAACTCATGTCAATGGGGAGCCAGTCCACGGCCTGGTTCATACAGAAGTGGTGGAGCTAATACTGAAGGTAGCTTCCAGTGTAACTAACTATCCGCTGTGATTCTTTGTCTCTGTTGGTAGCACTCTTGACTTTGTGCAGGTTAGCCCCAATACCACCACAGTGTAGTATTGGGGCTAACAATGCATTTGAGCCATCCAGCTCCACAGTTGTAAAAACATTTTATGAGTTTTTGAGATGTCCTTCTGCTGTGAATGGCATTATGTAAGTGTATATTGTGTCGTACCCAATGCCTTGCCAAATTTACAAAATTCATTAGTTATCTGAGGACTTGAGTTCTGCAGCACAATATTTCCCAACGTTTACACTTTACACAAAGAACTTGCGCTTTTACGGCATCCATAATGTCCAAACATTTTAAACTGTAATGATTATTTCATAGGCAGACTGTTTTGAAGATAGTAATGTGAGGAGTTTAATCTTGTTTTCCAACTCTTATTTCTAATGTTAACAGCTTTTGTGAAATTGTTCGGTTTTGGTGACTTTTACTAAGTGAATTCTGTCTTCAGAGTGGAAATAAGGTTACTGTGACCACGACGCCGTTCGAGAACACTTCCATCAAGATTGGTCCTGCCAGGAAGTCAAGCTACAAAGCTAAAATGGCGAGAAGGAATAAGAAGATCTCAGGAAAAGACGGACAGGACAGGTGTGGAGATGGATTAAAGTGCACCTGTCCATTCACAGCACATTCTTCATTTGAGTATCTCACTATTTGTGCCACTACCTTGTGGCAAATAGAGTTAATTAATCATTTAATGATTCTGTGTTTCCATTATCTGACAGTGGTAAGAAGAGGAGTTCCTTGTTCCGCAAGATCACAAAGCAGTCGAACCTGTTGCACACCAGCCGTAGCCTCTCGTCCTTAAACCGCTCGCTCTCGTCCAGCGATAGCCTACCTGGCTCACCCACGCACAGCTTATCTGCTCGGTCGCCCACACAGAGCTATAGACCCTCTCCTGACTCTGGATATTTAGGTAATACGTCATTTGTTTTTCTTGGCTCACTTGGCAGCACCGTCTTGAGTCTCTGCCTCTCACTAGCTAAAAGATATGGCACCACTATTGAAACTTTAGTGACTCTAGTCAAAACTATTCTCCAGAAGTTGAAATGGGGACTTTGAGGTGGGTGTCTTTAAGGAAACTTGCAAGATTGATGTCTCTTAAATCTTGATAGAGGTGACAATTCCTGCATGTGTGTGGGTGGGATGTGGGAGGAGGTTCTGACTTCTAGAAAAATTTAAATAAAGACAGACTCTGATAGTAATAAATGATTAGTATGTACTCACGGTTCATAATGTACTCTTTCTTCATAGGAGGAGGCAATTCTTCTCAAAGTAGCTCCCCTGGCTCCAGTGTGCCCAACTCCCCAGCCACTCCACACCATATCAGGCCCAGTAGCCTTCATGGTCTGTCTCCCAAACTTCAACGTCAGTACAGGTCAGCGCGATGCAAGTCTGCAGGCAACATCCCACTGTCCCCTCTTGCTCACACTCCGTCGCCAACTCATCCCTCTCCTCAGCATCCGTCGTTCCCTCTGCCAGCCCACACAGTGGGCAGCTCGAACACCACGCAGTCGTTCCCTATCAAGTTGCATTCATCACCTCCAGTTGTCCGGCCAAGGCCTAAGAGCGCCGAATCGCCTCGGTCTCCTTTACTGAAGAGAGTTCAGTCTGCTGAGAAATTATCAGTCCCCCTTTCTTCCGAGAAGAAGCTAGCCATTCGCAAGCACAGCCTCGAGGCGTCCCACTCGGAATTTCGTAAGGAAGCTCTACATAGCGATACAAGTCTTCATAGTTTGGCGGAGTCAGAGGGCGAGGTCTTGGGGTCCAAGGTTGATGAAATGGCCACTTTTAGACAGATAGCGGTACGGAAACTTGGGAGACAAGAATCTCCACTGAATCTTGATAGAGATCTGTTTCCCACCATCAGGCAGGAGAGGGGAGAAGGGCTTGATCCTGTGCAAGAACTAGAGGTTAGGGTAACTGATCATGAAGAAAAGCCAGTAGATGGAGCCAAAGAGAGAAATAAGGAGGTAAAGGAAGCCTCTTACAAAGCTGCTTGTTCTGGAGGAAAAAATGATGTTTCTAAATATGGGAGTGACAAACAAGGAATAAATCAATCCAGATCTTCATTGTTGTTGGATATTAGTGGGAAGACATTAGAATCTAAATCCCAGATTTCTGAGCCTCTCTTAGAAAAAGGAACCGGCAAAGTTTCACTGGCATCAGATCAAAGTTTGAATAAAGACCTACCGTGCAGTAGCATAAGTAAAAAGAATGTTCTGTCTCCTTGTTCCATTCCAACAACGTATGTAGTCAAAAGTCAGCCATCCCAAGTGTTGAGCCTTGATGCTTTGCCAAGCCCTGGTGAAGTTAAAACCTCTCCAGATTGCACATCTACCAGTTTTAATGTCAATGGCATGCAATTGGTTCAGGTAGATTGTGTTCCAAAATCATTGGAGAAACTGCCTCGCCAGGAGCTGAAGGGAAAAGTTCCCATTGATCCGCCAAACATGAGACATCAAGGAATGCAAACTGAACCACCAGGAACCGGCAGAAAACCAACGCCAGATAACAACACCACAAAGCTGCCAGAAGAGAGATCACAGCCAAGGGATATTTGTCCAGGTGATGGCTGCTCCACAGGACAAAGGGTAAAGGGGAAGGCCCCTGAAATTCCGACTATTCTCGAACCGATAAAAATCCTAGCAAACTGTGATGGGAAAGAAAATAGAGTAGCATCCAAGACCAAAGATAAAGCTGAGGAACTGCACAAAATTGAGAAGGAAACAGTCAATGTTCTACCACAGGATTGTCTCCTTCAAACAGCCAAAAGACCTGATTCTATTGAAAAAAGTGCCATGTTTAACTGTTACAAAGCAGCTTCTGAAGGAATTTTAGAAGCTAAAGGAGTCTTGGAGATTAAAGTAGAACCACCACCACCACCTTCAACACAATGTGGATCAGGGCTTGGGTCCTTAACAGTAGCATTATCGGGTGCAGATAAATCTGGCTTTGTTAACCACTTGGCCACTGTGGCAAAGAATGTACTTGGGCCAGTGAAAACAGCCATCCCTGGGACAACTGCAACGGTGGAAAGGCTAAAAGCAGTGGGTAGCATGAAAGTTTTTCCTGAGCATCAAGGGAGTGCCACAATCCAGTCAGGGCCTGTCACTAAACCAGTGATCGTAGCAACTTCACAAGGCATAGCCAGCGTCCCACTTCTTGAAATGAAAGAGCCATCCGGTCAGAAGCTTTAGTGAACGCTTTCACTGTTAATAAGAGCCATTCCAGAAAAAAAAATCCAGATTACTGATGGCCTGAAGGCAAGAAATGGGGGGGAAAAAGAAACCTTGGGAATCACAGATTCTAAATGCAAAGGTGCTCATTTAATCGAAAAAATTGTGAAAGTTTAAATATTTCAAAAGAATGTGAAACCTTTAAAAAAATCAGCATCATGCGACTGCATGTTTATGTATACAATACTATCTGAAGTGCATTACATGCTTACCTGCTTCCATTATGTGGACCTGTCATATACTTAATATTCTGAAGTGCTCTTGTAAAGAGATCAGGAAATGATTGAGGTTGTGTGGTCAGGCTGCTGAGCGGTATTAATTCCCGGCAACAGCCTGCATTCAGAGAACATTATTCATGTTTCATTAGAAGTAGTTCACGGGTTCTTACTAAGGCCCATCAGCCAAAATATCTACCAATGGCTATAGTGTAGGAAACCCATCACCTTGTGCTTTATTTGGGCTTTTCTACTCCACATAGTGTTTTAGAATTGCCCTGATCTAAAACATGGAGCGATAGGTTTGACGGGCCAATGTTCCTGGAATCCTTGTGTTCATACGCTATATCTGTACTATGGCTTTCTCTGGCCGGCTTTGATCATTTGTTTCTATTCAGACAATGTGTCATTTCACACAAGTTATTCTCATTTCTTTCTATGATATGCAGCATCCCTACTCACCTTTTAGGAGAAATATAGATTTCTTTGAACAGTGCTACTTTTTTTGCAACTTTATGAAACTTATCATATTGAGAGGCAATAAAATGTAACCTCCTGAGCCCAATATCTATTCAGCATGTCTAACTTACCTTTTATGCATGGTAGGGGTTTGGAGGCCTGACTAATTTAATTTGATACAGAAGCTAAATTGTACGTAGTTTGGTTTGCAGTTTAAGTGTTCTGCATTGCAGGCATCCCAGTATAGAAAGGGCATCAGAGCTATGGAAAGAGTACAACATGGATGGTACCAAGGATGAGAGGATTATAGTTATAAGGGTAAGCTGAAAATTTTGACCTGTTTTCTGGAACAGTTTTGAGAACAGATAGTTAGTTTATTTCTGTTGTTTGGTAAATCAGTATGTCAAGTACTGTACATAAACTCAGGATTCACCGATATTTTTAAGGGGGCAGTCAGAAGAAACGTTTCCACACAGCACAGAACATTAAAGGCTTTTTTTGCCACACACCAACATTAAAAAAATTGAATAAATCAATGAAGAACAATAATAAAAGGGTACAGAGACCGAGCAGGGTAGATACTCCAGAATTAGCACCTTCTCAACCTCATGAGCTGAACGACCTCTTTTTCTGCTTTAATGTCTATGATGTGTGACTGTTAGGAAGCTTTTCCAAGGGCACTCAACATCTAGAATTATACAATGTTTATATCACAGGAGGGTTGCTTGCTCCCCCACCAAAGCTATCTACTCTAAGTGTCATATCAGAAATGAGAGCTACTTTCTATATGCAGCATTAACATCTCAGTAATGGTTAATCTGCTTTATTTCCTAAACTGTAGTGAATCTGTGCCCTGGGATATTGTCTTGCTTTAAACTAACTTTTAACAAATTGTTGCTGTGCGCTTATAAATATATTTATAAACAAATATTTTTGTTTTTTGCTGTACAGTTTTAATTTGATATTTTACTATTATTTATCATTTTATCTTATATTTTAAAATGTATTTATGAATGCACCTGGGCCAGCTCCCTGCATGCAATACAATGACTGCATGCTAGTGACATTTATCACCAGAAATCTGACTGTGATACAGAAATACCTAGTGGAAATTAGAATTCCCCTGGATGGGTTAGAGACTCCTGGTCTCAGGAACTTTAGATAAGATTGTAAAAGATATAGTGGAGAAAGCAAGCAAGCCAGTTGCGCTTTCATATTGGTGCATCAAGATTAATCACATTAAATTACTGCAGATAATAAATCCTGTTAATTAAAGAGATCCTTCAGCCCTTCTCTATAAACTCAGTTGCACATGCCCGCTCTCACCTTGGAATGTGCTGGTTATACTTTTTTTTAAAAAAAGGACAGTCGTAGCAAATATTTTGCTGAAGAGACACCTCAGCATCTACACATGATTCTTTGATGCTATCCAGATTACTTCTCAAACTCTTTAGTCTGTTTAGGATGCGTTACTGGACTGAGAAGCAAGTTCAAATCAAATGAGTTTCTCTCTGGAGGACGCAACAGGATCACTCTGGGAAAATCTTAGTGTAATGCGTAACATATTATTGGCACCACACTTTTGTTTGGTCAGTAATGATTTCTTTTTTGCATTTCCCATCTCCTGGGCCTCCTCATGTAATGCATTAGAATTACTGCCGCTCAGACTAACTCATAAAATCCTGTCTAAACCTTTGTCTATGCCATTTGAAAAACATTCAGCTTGTCAGTCAACATGCAAACATCTAAAAAAAAAGCAGGGGATGTTGCAGAAGGGATCAAAGATGTCAAATTTGGACAGCTATCAATAAATCAAAATAAATCTGGGGGTAGTATTGATGTTCAGTCACTGGATGTCACCAGTGTATTTCATGATAAATGGACATAATTACTTGACTGACTGAACTTTTGTTTCCACTTTAACTCTCAATGAATAGGCATTAAAGATTTCTTTCACAAGATCTCCCTCCAACTTATCCGACTCTCAAAATAACACAAGGGAAGGCACAGCTCTATGCTAATCAACAACTTTACATTTATATGGCGCTTTTTGTTTCAGGAAGACATCTCAAAGCAGAACTTTGTTATTTCCCATTATAAAGAAGCAGCAAAAAATAGATATTTAGTTTTAGTGACTAGAGTACGATCAAATCCAATTGTTAATGTCACTAACCAATAGCAGCAAACAGAATATTATCCCCCTTGTTTCAGAACTTCAGATCTAAAAGAGGATCAAACTTGTAATTATTTTTATTAAAACTATATGTATGTTTGTGTGTGTGTTTATGTATGTGTGTGTATACGAATATTACAAAATGGAATATTCTATGTGGTTGTATTGGATATTATTTTCATCAGATACTTTATAGTCAAATTTAGGAAATGGGTGTTCTCCCAAATTCGATGTGCACAATTTATTTTTTTATTTGTTAATGAGCTAAAACAATATATTGTTAAAGGTGAGTTTGAGACTGCAGTTTGATAGTGAATGTCATTTGAATGCCTAGATTTAAAGACAGTGTTGTGACTCACTCCCAGGTATTGATAGTCTGCATATTTTAGAATGTTAAAAAAAATCTTTAAAGACCTTTAAAGATGATGTGGATCTAATGTCACAAGTCAGTGAACCCAAACCCATACAAATCCCATCCCCAAATTAGATCTCCAGAAGAGATCTGTCTTAGTGCATTATCTAAAGAGGCATTATTTTACTCCGTATATTAATGCCAGTGACTTTCTCGGAGAGGAATTCATTCAGAGTATTTAACTATTTAATCACTACAAACAAAACTGACTACAGTATTGTATTCCAAGCTGGTGGCAAATTCCAAGCTCTTAACTTCATGAAATGTTTTCCCTTGCCACACACGCTTCTGTGAAAACTGCTTACCATGCCATCCTAGTGAAGATCAATAATAATAGTGAAATAATGTCTCTTGATAGATTTTAATATTAAAAGTATAATTAAAAGTATAAACAATTTCAGGGTGTGTCCCACACATGCTGGGACTGTGAAACAGCAAAGTGACTTTCCTTGGGCACCACAAGGTTTCATAGTTTTTGTGAATAAGCAGATTATGCACAAAAATACCAGTTAAGAGAAGGTGTTAAGAGAAGGTATTTTCCTGTGTTCTGCTGTACTATGGACATTTGATGACTTTTAGATTGGACTGTGGGTGATATTGAGACAAACCCATAACAGTCCAGAGACCAAAAACAAAGCTGCCTTCATTCAAAGGTTCAAACTCCTGCCACGCAATACATCTTTAAATAGTAACTACTTAATTACATCTCTAAAGAGATAGCAGAGTACAAAAATTATAGATCTCTACAGATCTATCTGTGATTCCTTCATTGATATGAATTGGATTTCATACTGGAGTCTATTAAACAGCAATTACTAAAACTCACAAACTTATTACAAATGTGTAATAAAGGTTTTCCAGTTTTAGCAACAGATGCATGATCAATCCAAATCAGTGTTTAATAGTCCTAAACTTTCTGCAAACTCAGGTGTGAGATTGGAGTGGATATCTTTGTTGCCTTTGACATATCAAGAAGTTTAAATGAGTTCTAGCTCTAACGGATCCAAACATCAGTGGGTCTTCAGTTCAGTATAATTATATCGTGGCCAAGTACTGTTTTGTTCAAATTGATAAACTTTCTACTGTTAAGAGGATGTCCTCTGTAATATTGCAGTGTTTAGCAGGAGGGGAGGTGTCTTTCAAAAGGAGACTCAAATTTGGTTTAAAGGGCATGCCATCTTCACAAAAATGTGTCCAGCCAAAATCATGTCCCTTTAAAATGCCAAGGATTTATAGAACCGTATGTATCCTCAGTGCTGCTAAGAGGAAGAGAAACACAGCAACATTGCTAGTTTAGATCTCGCCATTACCGTAGGCTGCGTTTGGATATCTTTCTCTTGCTGAGTTGCCCAGATTCAATCCAGTACCAGCAGTGCTGAAGTATGAAGCACTAACCATCACATTCTTGTGAACAAACATGCATATGTGACGAGAAATAACTGCATTATAGATTCCATTATAATAATAATAATCCTTGCATTTGATATAGCGCTTTTCAGGTTTTCTCGAAGTCCCAAAGCGCTTCACAGAATATACTGTTAAGTGAATTGACTGTATATTTGTGGGCGAACGCGGCGGCCAATTGCGCACAGCAATGTCCCACAAACAGTCGTAGATTGAAAATAACCAATTTATTATTGTTTTGGAGGGATTATTATTAGGCTCTGTATGGAGTAAGGAAACTTGCCCAAGGTTTCCCTGCCTGGAATTGAACTCAGGTTGCTCGCTTGCAAAGCGAGTGCTCTAACCACTGAGCTACAGGACTCCATTGAGCTACAGGACTCCATTGTCTTCATAAACAAAAGTTAGATGAAATCCATCCACATTATTACATTAGCTTTTTAAATTACTTCATCTAAAGTTACTTCTGCTAGAAAATCTTTCAGCTGATTTCAACAGGGACACAGGACATATCTTATGCTATATTCAGTTCTGTCCTCATCCACTGTAGCCCCCTCACCCTTATACACATAGAATTAAAATCAATCCTCAACTATTCATGTAGATTTTAGACTGTTATTTATCAGCAATTCCCATAGATTTTAGAATTCATATATTTATCAAATTTCATAGGTATATAAGATTTTGCTTAGAAAACAATTGTTCACCAAAATCTTTTGAGTGCACTCGTTGCTCTGTAATTGAACTCTCGTCTTCTTTGCAATGCACAGATGTTGCTATGCACTTGAAGATTGGTGGGGGAAGAGGCGCTTTTACTCCGTTAATCTTGAATATAAAATGCAAAATAGTTCATTAAATTTTTTTCTTCCAATATCAAGCTGAGAGACTTGCTCTCAAAGTTTCAAACTGGGGGTGTTCTTCACTGTGACATGCACCATCGCCACCTGTGATTTTATTTGTATCTGTATTCGCTTCGCAGTAAGCTCACTTGTGTATCTTGTTGCTAGCTCTATGCAAAGCTAAACATCCCTGTGCGATGCTCTGCTGTACTCCCCTCTCTCTCTCTCTTTGTGTGTATTACTTTTATTTTTAATTGACAATAAAATGTTCCTAATTGTACGACATTCCTGACGTGTTAGCGTAACATATCCGCACTGTTCAACTGTAATGCTGTAGGTCTGCAACGTTGTTTTTTTTAGTAAATCACTGCTATTTATTATTATGCTGTAAGGGTGATGTGCTCCCCAATTCAGTTGATCTTTGGATCTGTGCATTCTGGAGAGTGGGTACAAGAAAATATTAATTAACCCAAACTGCAAGACCTACTGCGAATCATCTCCAGAACTCGAGAAGAGAAATTTTGCAGACAACCCGATTGCTATCTCCAGCTGAAAACAGAACTTGAAGTGACTGAATGAACAGATCATAGTCTATGCGGTGTGTGTTAGAACTGATTTGTATATATCAAGTGAGTTGTATTTACAAAGTAATGTTTAAAGTAAATAAAACCTGTTTGCGCCTGTTGGCCGGGTATCTACACACTGTTTAACAGTGAGGACATTTGCAGGACAGCTGTATGTAATATTTATACATTTCATTTTCTTATTGCCTTAAATTTAGTTCCTCACTGCTTCTGTATTTTACTGATCGTGTGAAAGAAATATTAAACTAAAACTCCCTGTAAGCTTTGTTTGTTATGGTAATTAAAGACTGATATTATTACAAGTAATTTGAACAAGTGGAAATACACCACTGAGAAACAACTAAACCATAGTGTATTAACATGTAAGGCAAATTTCCCATAATGTTTGTTAACATTATGTATTCTGACCCCTCAATGCTGCTGTACTTAGTATCATCAGCAAAGTGCTTTTGTTCTTTCTAACATATTTTCATCAGTGTCTGCTGCCACTGGAGCTCAGCTGGGAAATTCAAGAGAATCGAACAGCACCAATGGGACTTTGGAGTCCATTTAAAGTAACCTAATTGTCTCGGAATGCAATCTTGTGAGGGGAAAGGAAACACTCGCATCAAATGCTCCCCAAAATCCACAGCCTCTGTGAAGCCAAGGCCCAGAAATTTTGAATTGCTTGACAATTTAAACCATTTATTTTTATAACATTATATATGCCCCCATTTGTTATGTACTGAGTCCACTAATTATTACCAGTAGCATTTCTGTGCCTGTGCTATAACTCACCTTGAACAGTCTTATTGGAAGGGTATTTATTCTTACTTACCAGACTTATTTTCCTCTATGTAACACAGCAGCAATCCAAGGTGATCCTTTCACTCCATTGATATCCTCTGCACCTAACTGTGCTCCTCGTATTTTGGCACCACTTCCTTGACAGCCCTTCATCAACACTTCTGGGGATAAGCAGAACTGGCTGAGAATGTACACTTCATCGAGTCAGGAAAATTAAAAGATTCATTCAAGCAGTGTGGATGGTCGATCAGCCTGTCAGGTTCATTAACGAGACTTGTAATTGTTGGTGTAGTGAAGAGGTCCAAGAATATTTTTTTTCCACCACCCCGTTTTTTTTTTGGATTGATTTAGATTTTGTTTAACCTGATTGTTTCTTCTTTTTTTGAGCGATACAATTGTAAAAGTTTAAGACGACTGTTCCGGGTAAAAAAAAATAAAAAAATACCCGGAACGTACCTGAGCAAATCGTTTCCACCCGCTTTCTTCTTTTTTTTGTTTCGGTCGACCACTCTTACGTTTTCTCCGATTTTTTTTCTTCTCTCCTCGAGACGTTCCCGCGCCACACGATGAAAGAAAGGTTAGGTTCCCCAGACGGGGAGGGGGGGGCTCGACTCTCTGTCGAGCAGAGGTGTGGGTGGGTGGTGGCGTGAGGCCATGACCTGAGGTGGACAGCGCACGGAAAAACTCGAGCCAACGTTTGCCTGACCCCCTCTGTAACAACAATAATAATAATAATCCTTGCATTTGATATAGCGCTTTTCACGTCGGGAGGACGTCCCAAAGCGCTTCACGGAACACACACTGCCAAGTGAATTGACTGTATGTATTTGTGGGCGAAGAAGGAAAGTTACTTCTGGCTTCGGTGCCCCTCAAACACCCTCCAGGCCCTGCGGCCTTCGATACTTCAAACGAAATCACACCTTCGAGACGCCTCGGAGCGCTTCACGGGATACGCCGCGAAGTGAGTGCATTTCTGTGTGGGGGGCAACACACGGCGCACAAGATGGCCACTCGGCCCCGTCGAGAGCCATTTCCTTTCGGTCACCTTGACCTGCCGGCAGCTGTCTCTCGTTTTGAGGTATCTTCGACAGAGGACAAGGCTTCCTCTGCCGTCCCGTTAACACGGTGCCCCTTTGGCGCCGCGCCGAGGCCGTCCGTTGAGGGCACCGGTCGTCGTCGTCGTCCACCTCCTCCTCCTCCCGCCCTTCGAGAAGCTTCTCTCGCCCGCGGACAGATGACGCCTGGCGCCTGCGCACTGCGGGCCGCACCCTGGCGCCCCGCCCCGCCCTCACCGCCGCGCCTGCGCGCGACGCCCCGCGCGCGACTTTTCCGTTGGTCGCCCCGAACGCGGGACTGCGGCTGCGCGGTAGCACTCGACGCCTCCAGGTTGACGCGGGGTCCGTGAAAACTGAGGTAAAAATAAAAAGAGAACAAGTCGTTTCACTCCCCCCCCGGACCCCCTCCCGCACCCCCCCCCCCCCCCCCACCCCCGATATAAACTAGATTGCTTTCTACAGAAGGATCATCTCTTTCACTCCCACCACCGACCCTCCCCTCACCGACGGCAAAAAGCGGGTCAGTCGCCCTCAGCGATGGCGGAGCTCGACGCCACGGCCTTGGGAGAGAGAGGGAGAAAGAGAGGGAGAAAGGAAGGAAGGAAAGAAAAGAATAACCTCGGATGGACGGTTTCTCTGAGGGGGCAAAGACCCCACCAGAGAGGCTGCTGCTGACTGTGTCCTCCCCACACATCCATACCGTTTCTTGTTTGTTTCCTTTCCTTTCCCCCCAATTGGAAATGATCCCAAATCCCAATGACAGATCCTTTTTTGCGTTTGGTTGTACAACCGATCTTCTCGGGTCGTGGAGGGCGTCTCGAAGCACCTCCCAGAATAATAATAATAATAATAATAATAATAATCGCCATCATCATCATCCTTGCGCTTGGTGTACAGCGACTTAATCGCCCCGTCGAGGCGTCTCAAGGCGCTTCCCAGAATGATGATGATGATGATAATAATAATCAATCTGGCGTATAGCCACTTGTCACTCATACGTCATCGATATGTCTCAAAAGCGCTTCGCAGAATAATAGGAATAATAATAATCAATCCTGCGTTCGATACACAGCCGCCTGTCACGTCATTCAAGACGTCTTAAGGCGCTTGGAAGAGTGTTTGATATACGGCGACTTGTCACCTCCTCGATGCGTCTCGCAGAATATACTGTGAAGTGAATCGCCTGTGTATTTTGTGGGCGAATCGCAGCAGCCAATTGCACACAGCGGCCACGGATTGGATTGAGTGACCAAATTATATATATTTTTTTTTGCAAGTCAGATTGGGAATTTTCCCTTTGCCTGAAGTGGAGCACACACTCTCTCAGCTTCTTACCTCCTGACTCCAAAAGGAGTTGACACTTGCCGCTCTCCTCCCCTCAGGCTTAACCCCCGGAGAGTAAGCCAAGGCGTACTTAGCTCTCCAGCGTTGGGAATAAGGGCCTTCACCTTATAAATGGACTTTAACCAGTTAAATCCCCATGGATTAATTGTCTGACCAGCTTCCTTTCGGCTGTTTGTCACTTATCTGTAAAGCACTTTGGTTTGCAGGTTTAACAGGAGTCAATTGGAAAGAATTCCACCCCCTCCCCGTTTTTTCTGGTCTACTCCCAACACTTGCTGACAAGCCACTCTGGTTGGTCCATCATCAAGAGTGCCTTGGAGTAACCAGGTGAAGAAAAAATTTAGATATGATTCTGCCTTGTGGCATCAGAACATTTTAAAGCACTTCTCTGATCAAGCATTGTCTGATAAAATTGCTTAAGTAATGAAAAGTTTGTTAACTTGTGGCCACGATGGTATTTAAGAACTAAACCGTTTAGTTTTAACTAATTTAGTACACATATTTGAATAATACATATATATTTTGAATCATCAAGCAGCTTTGAAAAAACATGATTTTATTGCAGAAAAGTAATAGTACGGGCTACAGAATGAAAAAATAACCAATTTTAGAAACTGCTAACAATTTCAGGCAAATTCATAAACTCCAGACACCTCACTTCATGTAACGTTATTGTTTCATGCCTTTTTTTCCTTTTAAAAAGTTTTTCTCTTGCAGATCGTACCATTTGAATATTAGAAAACAAGAAACATGTTGACCCTCTTCCAGAATTTTTTTGCTTGTCTAAAATTCTTAATGATTGGCATCAATGGCATCATAACTGTAAGTAATTTGAGATATATGTATTACATATGATCTCTGCATTAAAAGTAGCTGCTGCAGGAGACTGGGCAGTTCATTGGATTAAACTCACTGTTGCTTTTACTCTTGGGATTTAATATCTTATGATAACATGAGAGACAGTTTTGCTCTGAAGTATAAAAATAGTAAATTAAATGAGGTCGAGCAGTCTCACTCCTTCTTTAAATGTACAGCCTTCAAGATACAGCTCATCACTTTGACTGCAGTTGGCAATTAATTATTCATTTCTACTCAATGTGCTGCGACATCGCTCTTCCTGTCATTATAACACTTTTTCAACAGTGTGAAAAAAATGGCCTCTCTTATCAATAATGCCACCCAGTTTCACAGCCCACCTTTGTAAATCAGGTTATACTCTGAGCTCCATCTAGTGGCTTGTTCTTAAATATATTTGCACTTACTACATATACCTTTAATATTTTTCAATAAGTTAATATTGAAGACATAACAAGCTTAAATTCTTGTGTATATAAGTAAAATTTAGTATTCTCAGATTTAGTCAAAAGAGCAAAAACTAGTAATAGATATGATAAATTCTATTACTGTTGCACCCAACTGAGCAGTAAAAGGTTTGTATGATGTTGTGAAAAGGGGGCATTTTTTAATATATATTTATCTTCTTTAAAAAATCATAACCCCACTGTATTAATAACTAGTTGGTGAGCAGAGACTGGAGATAAACACATATCTGAAACCTAAATTTGCATCTATTTAAAGAAGTTTCGTTTATGTACCACTTTACAATGTACACATTGGTTTAAATTTTATAGCAATTTAACATCTCATCCTAAAATGGAACCTTCAGAAAGGCAACTCTCCCCATTGCTTCACTGGAGTAACAGCCAAGATTGTGAGCTCATGTTCTATATTCGACCTTGTGCCTACAACCTTCTGACCCAGTGTTAGCAGCTGAGCCAAGCTGACACTGCTCCGTGGCAGTTTGACAGTTCAGAGTGATGGGAAGAAGGTCTCTATTTTTCTGCTGGGTGTAAGGATGTCACCCAAAATGAATGGCCAGTCCATCTGTGCAATAGTATGAATAGTCTGCTAAAGCAGTATTTGTTTAGTTATGGTGACTTTGGGATTGTCAGGACTACAGACATGTAATTTGTTTTCCAGGTTGCTGGCTTTGTACTACTAGGATTTGGGACCTGGGTCAAAGTTCATACCTCTTCTGTTCTACAAATCTTAGGATCGGGCGCATCACATTTTTCCCATGTTGGCTATTTCCTTATTGTTGCAGGTTGTTTACTTGCATTCATAGGGATTATTGGATGCTGTGCTGCTGCCAGGGAGAACAAGCTACTTTTGTTACTGGTAAGGCAAATATCTTAGCGTTAGTTCAATATTGCTCCAGGTATTCACTGTTATACTGTGAAGTGTTTGGTAGATCTCTGCAGAAATAAATAGTATTAAATCAATATATCTTATAAATGCTAACAAGAATTTTTTTTAGAAAGTACACCCTTTAATCTTGAGTTAATAATGTTTAAATTTGATATATTAACTTATTACACCACATTTGGTATAGCGTCAAGACATCTCAAAGCACTTCACAGATGTCTCAATGCAATATCCTGTAAAGCGCATTGACTAATATTTAGTGGGCGAAACATGGCAACCAATTGTGCACAGCAGTATCCCACAAGCAGTCGTGGATTGAGTGACCAATTTTTTTTAATCAAGGGATTATAATGTTGATAAGACTGTTCCTTCACCTCTGAGGCTTGGGTGTGAGACAATGGGACATTGGTTTCTTTAAAAAGCATTAGACTGATTAGAAGGCTGTGGAAATTTGTGAAAGCTCAGCTCATGCACTGATGAGAAGTTTAAAGAGGATCTTTTGTTAATCGTGCAAAGGAGTCTGTTATCATCACTGCTGAGATAGTTCTGTTGTGTTTGTGTTCGGAGAATGATAGAAACTGGTGATCGTCACATTATTCTACTGCATTCAGACTCTTACATTATTTACCTGCATAAAGACACAGAAAAATCAAATGCTAATGTTTTTGTATTTTCTTTTCGATTCCAGTTCTTCATTGTCGTGCTAACGATTTTCATTGGGGAAATAATCTGTGTAGCTGTCGTCCTGGTGTTTCGGTCAATTGTAAATATTATTTCTTTGGCTCTCTTAGTTTGCTGCTTAATCCTTGCATTTGATACACTGCCTTATCCCATCGCCAAGACATGTCAAAGTGCTTCACACGAAACAATGTAAAGTGGAGTGACTACGTATACTTGTCCTGTTCATGCAGGTGCTTTATGCATTAATTTTTTTAATATAAATTAAGAATATAAAGTAGAATTTTTGCAAATTGTATTACATCTCATGACTCACGTAAACAGGACTAGAGAGGGCAAATGTGGCCAAGATTATCCAAGCACTAATTGTCAATGCTAGTTGGAATTACATGTGTAGATTTTTGCGTAGTAACAGGAATGAATTACGGTGAATATTTAGGATAACAAACCATGCACAGCACATCACATGAGAGTAAGTCAATAAGAAAAATTGTTCTTGTTCCAGACACTGGTGGCTTATATAATGTGGATCTCTGGTTTGGATCCTCTTAAGCACGGTGGTGGGTTTCTGCTTTTATCAGACACTCAGCTGCCCAAAAAAACTGTAATGTGTAGTGACTGCATTTATAGACGAATGTGAGAGCTAATTTGGACCCAGTAATGTTTGAAAATATTGTTAGGATTATTTGTATTTTGCTATAATTATGATATAATGGTTTGATTGATGTCAAATTGTGAAACTATTCCTGTAGTTGTATGTGGTATATATGTAGTCAACTGGGGGACGTTTTATATATCCAGTGTTTTTAAGAGATACTGTTATCCTTATTAGGGTTCATGTTTAATGAAAGAGGAGGCTTATAGTTTGTTGAAGCACAACTATACTGGATATGGTGATGAAAATATTGCAAGTTATGGATGGGACACTGCCATGATCAGCGTAAGTTACACACTCATCTATATTTGCACTGTCTTCGCTTATTGTATGGAAAATCACACATGACATGTTGATCAAGCTGCATAGAGGAACAAGACTGATTAAGGAATGAGCTATAATAATAATAATCCTTTCATTTGATACAGCGCCTTGTCACATCTTTGAGATGTCTCAAAGCACTTCACAGGGTACACTGTAAAGTGTAGTGTATATTTGTAGATGAATTGTGTGCTATGAGGAACAGCTGGTTAAACTGGGGACATTGAACTTACTGGTCAACTTTTTGGAGTGCTGGTTAGCTGGGACCTGGCTTAATTCCCTCTCTCATGAAAATATTACAATGCAATCCTAAAAGTTCTGTACCTCAGGATTAGTTGAATAAAATGAACTGGAACCTGCGGTTATTTTAGCATTTGACAGATCTGGAGCACCCTATACTAGAGAAAGACGAAAGGAGTGCATCATCACCGTAACAAAAATAACTTGTTACGTATTACGGTTCTTTTGATTTAAGACATTCACTTTCCAGATTATGATTTTATGGCTTAGTTTCGGATGAAATTAAGAAGTAGGAAATTGTCTGAAAGCTGTTGATTCACTTGTCGTTTCAGTTTCATTGCTGTGGCATGAATAATCACACCGATTTTATTGGATCAAAATATCAAAAGGTAACACAGCGCAATTATCCCAAGAGTTGCTGCAAAGATCCTAAATCTTCTAACTGTGATGGAAAGGACACCTCAGAAGCTGTTATCTATCAAAAGGTATTACTTTTTACTTGAAAATACTGTTAAGATGTAATCATTTAGCTGGGGAAGTGATCGGTTATTGCAGTAAAATCAGATCCCAAGTGGGCAGCTTGTCTCTATACTACAGGCCCTGCAAACCATCTCCGTCAGGTCTTCTCCAGAGGCCCAAATTTTCACTTTGTCACAGACTATTTGTATTAAAATTTAAAACCACCCAGCAAATGCTGTTTTTTACACAATTCTTAAAAAAAATCCTGCTTTAACGTTCAGAACTGAATGTAAGCCGTTTCCACATCATTGTGCATTCTTCCACTTGTGCCTGATTTTTTAAATTTGAACTGTAGAGAACATCGCAGCGTAGCATGTCTCGTAAAACACCTTTCACATACTATCTCTTGTATTTTTTCGGCATTCATATTTTTCCAGGGCTGCCTCGAATCCATGATTGCAATGATCAAAAGAAACAGTTCAGTTATTGGTGGAGTTGCTATTGGGATCGGGGTATTAGAGGTATGTGTACCAGAAATTGAAAGTCTTGAATAATTTTTGTCTGCAGGAGAACATATAGGAGAGGGAGCCCTGTTGGAGTCCTGTAGTGTATTGATTAGAGCAAGTGAGAGGACCTGGGCTTGTTTCCTGGGCTGACCAAAACCTTAAGCAAGTTTCCTTACTCCACACGCCTGTTTACCTAGCAGAAAGTAGGAACCCAGTTAATAATTTGGCCATGACTGTTTGTGGGTCACTGCTATGTGCAATTGACTGCCATATTTCATCCACAAAATAGACAGTCAATTCACTTTACAATATATTCTGTGAAGTGCTTTGTCATCAACGACGTGATAAGGCGCTACATCAGATGCAAGGATTATGATTATAATGTGGCTCGGATCATCGCTTTATCCCTTTAAACGGTGGGAATCAATGTACCATTGGAGGTTTCTAATGTTTTATGTTTTTTTTCTTCCCAGTTGATATCGTTGGTCATTTCATTGGCATTATTTATCAACCTTTTCCAGAAGCAAACAGCTATAACCGTTTGATCAGTTACATTTGGAAGGAAATAGGGGATTGAGAAAAATTAGTGTGATTACAAACCTGTCTCAGAAAACATGACATTTACTCTTATGTTTTATTGTAATCCAAACCTGAAAATGAGTCTGTTGTAATTGTACTCTTCCCCACCAATCTCTTATACAGGTTATAAAAAGATAAGTGTTATACAGGTTATAAAAGATAACACTTGTTTAGAACATCTGAATGTGTAACACCGTTATTTAGAACATCCATATGTTATTTGCGATATTATTGAAACAGTAAATTGTGCCTTCATCACTACAGGATTAGAAGAATTTCACCTGCAGTGTTTCTTTGAAAACAAATCTGTCTATTTGATATATTTAACATATTTTCTCTTTGAGTGTTACCAAGTATTGTCCAGCAATCGATTCGCTACGAATCAATAGAACTCTCCATAGATAGTGGTCTCTGTAAACAACGTTTCTTGCAGTTAAGCAGGCCATCAGATGGATAACTGAGAGGCTGTTGTAATAACTAAAATTACAAGTCTAGTATATACTATATTATTGAATTTGAAATAAAAACATCAAAGGCTGCAAAAGTTTAAAAGATAATATTGGTGAAAGGGACTTCTAAAGATTGAAAAGGGTGCTGTCATTTTGGATTACAGTGTCCCATCTCATCCAAATTTACCATTGACCTCAGCAAGTTATCCATGGTCAACACTCAAGATTTGGGCTCTTTTCAAAATTCATAACTGTAACTTCATTGTATTTTAATTCAAGATCTTGTTTCTTTACCAAATCTTTTTTGTAAATAAAAATGCAGCTGTTTGATTTCAGTCTTAAAAAAGTAATCCCAAGTTTCCTTCAACAATTTTAATTTTGCTCACAAAATATAGTCAATTCACTTTACAATATATTCTGTGAAGCGCTTTGAGATGTCTTGAAGATGTGAAAAGGCGCTGTATAATAATATAGTTTCTATCAAAGCACTGGCATGTTTGGGTTTGGATAAACATACACAGCACAGCCAATTTGTGCACAGTGATGTCCTCGCAAAACAGACCTGGAGCTCTCTCTCACTTAGCCTGGAAGGGAGTTTTCGAAAAGCAGGAAATCTGAAACAAAGGCACTTTGCTATTTGAATTTTTTTTATTTTTGTTTAAATCACAGAAACAAAGACGTGCATTACGGTGGGTTTAACAGAAGATACACTTGCAAGGCAGAGAGAGAGAGCGAAATGGCTGACAATTCATGAGTGTATTTTTATTCCATTTACAGAACCCCCAGTTCCTTTTCCGTCCCCACTCCACACTAAACAAATTATACATTCAATAACATTCCCTGGGATATTGCCCAAAGATTTGGCTCATTATTTTCTCAATTCAGAAACAGGCTCATGCAAGTTAAAGAGAACTTGCTTAAAAATCCCTTCTAAAACGATCCAAAATTACTAAGTGCTAAACCAATTCACAAGTCTTATTTCGCCACGCGACTTAAGAAAGTGGATGGTAATTCAACCCCTGTAGTGCTTAAGCTAAATTCACCGTCCCTCACGACTCGATGCCTTGCAATATCTATCTGTCCTGTAGCTTCTTAGTGCTATTTTTGCTACTGAAATGTTTCGCTTTTAATAAAAGTCAAGCATCCGTTTGCAATGTGGGAGTTGGAACCTGGTTATTGGCTATTTTTCATTTGGCATTTTGCAACGTTAATTATCTCTCCCGGGAAATCACCTCCCGCTCTGCCCTCCTCTCCTTCTACATCACTCCCTCCTTCCCTCCTCTTCTTCCCTCCCTCCTGTCCTCTCTCCCCTCTCTCCGTCTGCCCCTCTTCTCCACCCCTTCCTCCGTGCTCTCCGCCTCCTTCCCAACCCTCCCTCCTCCAACATATCTTGCAAATCACCTGTCACACAAACAACGCCCCTCAAATTCAGTGGCCACAATCAGCCACCAAGTCAAAAAACTACCCCCATAGCCCAACCTAACCTTGTTAGATGAAGCCATCAAATGTCAACGTGAGCTCACTTTTAAGGTTATCGGCTGGCTAGCATTTTGTTTAGAGTAACCGTGGAAAGCACCTGATTCCAACGTAGATCACACCCTGAAATAATGATTAATACTGCCTGTGAGAACACTGAGGGGAAAGGGGCTCCGGCTGAACAGAGGGGTTCTCTGCAGTAGATTCCCTGCAGTAGATTCCCTTCCAAAGGAGAACAGGAGTATTACTTTGGCCGTTGTATTGTGCCATCCTGCAGATTGAGAGATGGAACCAAACTCCCATCTCCCACTAAAAGTTCCCGAGACACCATTTGAACGGGATGGGAGTTTCTCTTGGTATCCCTGTCACACTCCCCTCACCTCAACACCACCCGACAAATTGGTCATGTTTGTGGGACTTTGCTGCGTGCAAAACAGCTGCTATGTTTCCCTGTGGACAGAACAGTCACCTCATTCGGTGTCAAGTGACGTTCAGGAAAGTACAAGTGTAACTCCTTCCTCTTTTCCGGCTTCGCTTGACCTATCCACCTACTTGAAGCTCAATCCCATTTCCTCTTTCAGTCTCTTTTTTTGCCCCTCGAGTTTTTAACCTATTTAATAAATTTCTAATTTCCCCTTTTTTTTGTTATTTCTCTTAAAAAAACGCTGTGAAGGATTTAGCAATAGACTTTCTGTGGTTAAGGCAATACTGCATTCTAACAACAACGGTGACTTGCATTTACACAGTGCCCTCTCGTAGCAAAACATCTCACATTGGCAGGGACAAAATGAGCATCATCGCAGTAGAAGAGAGAGCTGGGATTTAGAGACAACAACAACAACAACAAATTACATTTCCACGACGCCTTTCATGTTAAGAAGACGTCGCAAGGCGCTGGACAGTCAGGGATTTGGACTCGAGCTGGGGGGTTGGGATCAGGAGGGAGGTGGAGGGTAGGAGGGTGACTGAAGGCGCGGTCGATGAGGACGGTCTCGAGACATGACTTGGGCGGGGCGAGGCGAAGTGACTGGGATGGAGGACCAGAGGATGGAAATTTTGAGACTGAGGGGTAGAAGCAGAGGTAGGGGTTTAGTGACCAGGCTTCCAGTGCTGATCGCAGAGTGGGTCACAGGTAGGATTTGTCAATGTGGTTAAGCAGTTGAGGCTTTTCCATCCCACCCATCACCTTTCCTGCCTCCCACGTACAGATAAGAGCAAGTAACTGGATTGGTGGATAGATGGAAGGAGCGGGGGAGAATGGAAAAGGAAAAGACTTGGAGGTGACGCTCTCTTTGGCCATTCTCTAGTTGTGAACAGTAACAAGGCACTATCCCAGCCCCAAAGCTTCCGAGTGACCATTACTCCCTCTCAACCCTACACTCATGTCCGCCCTTTGGAGGACAGTCACAAGACACCCTTACTCTGCATTACTCTACCCTCATTCCTCAACTCAGTCCCAATTCTCCCACTGCGGACAGAGCGTCAGGTAGAGGAGCCCTCTGTCGGTGTGCACAGTCCTTCCCCCCCCCATCCCCCACAACCACAGCAATTTCAATTAATCATTTATATTTACCATAATTAATATAATCATAACAAATATAATTAATCATAATTATATTCCACCCACAAAATATCCAGCCAGTTCACCAATTTATAGTATATTCTGTGAAGCGCTTTGAAGACGTTTTGAAGACGTGATAAGGCGCTGTATCAAATGCAAGGATTATTAATTAGTGACCAAATAGTAGTTCCAACACACCAGCATTGCAAGGGACCTTGCTTGAACCAATTGGCACAGTAAAACTTTGGCAGAAATGTTTTTTTTGGATCAGTTGATAACCCAGAACGTTAAATAAGTTTTGCAATCAAATCTCTCCCCTCTCCCACTCACCTCCCCAATTCATTAACAGGCATCTTCGTGCTATATGTAGTTCAAGGGTGAATTTTGGAGGTCAGGTCTGCCTAGCAGGGGCAGCCTCTGTCTTGTGGAGGGTTCTCTACCAAGCTTGTGTCCTTGTTGTTGCCAACAAGCGTGGGATCTGCGTCCAAGCTCTCGGACATCTTCACGCAGATGATATCAACCAGACGCTCGAAGACCTGCTTCACATTCACATTATCCTTGGCGCTGGCTTCAAAGAACTCAAACCCTGGAGCAAGCAGTCGAGGAGAGAGGAGGGGTGTGAAATCAAAGGACACACGTCATTAACCGGAGATGCAAAGGATTAAACCTCGTCCCTCGTGGGTCCCATTTGCGTCCCTCTCTTTAACCCCTACCAAACTCCGTACCCCCATCCATCACCCCCAAAAGCATGCCAGGCTCCACTGGCTCCCTATTGTAGGACCGATTGATCAATTTCAAGATCCTTACACACACTTACAAATCAATGCATTCCCGACCTCTCTGACTGCGAGAGACAATCCAAGACCAGATAGAGCCAATTCAATGATGTTCAAGGGAAAGGTTCCAAAAGTCAATCCAATGGCAACACTGGGAATCAAAGCGGCCTTTGACCAACATACAGGCCTTAGTGTCTACCGTATGCACACCCTTAAACTGGCTTAAATGTAGACCTGTAGCTCAGGGGTTAGAGCACTCGCCTCGCAAGCGAGAGACCTGGGTTTGATTTCTGGCAGGTCGAAACGTTGGGCAAGTTTCCTTAGTCCACACGCCTTTGTTTGCCTAACACCCGGTTGTTAGTCAATTGACAGATCGCTTTTCCGGGGGTAATAATACCTTAAAAAAAATAATAAATTGGTCACTCAATCCACGACTGCTGTGCGCAATTAATTGGCTGCTGTTTTGTCCGCAAAATATACTGTCAATTCACTTTACAGTATATTCTGTGAAGCGCTTTGAGACGTCTCGAAGACGTGATAATATCAAATGCAAGGATTATTACTATTATTAAATGTATCACGTACCCAATTCGTCAGCCAGTCGCCTGCCCTCTTCCGAGGGGAGGACACGGTCTTCTTCCAGGTCACATTTATTCCCGACCAGGATGACCTGAGCATTATCCCAGGAATAGGTCTTGATCTGAGTGGCCCTGTTCAGGATGAGAAGACACGGGGACAAAATGAGGGAGAGTCGACAAAACGTTCCCCAGCCCAGCCCTCGCCCTCCTCTTCGACCGCGCCTTCGGTCGCCCTCCTACCCCTCCCTCCCTGCCCTCCAATCCCGCTGATGCCAACTCCCCGCTCGGATGTGGATCCCTGATCGTCCAGGGCTTTGGGATGTCCTCCCAACGTCAAAGACCTTGCGTATCTTTGGATACAGTATGTAGTTTGGGACACAACATGTGAAGCGACTGCCAGGATGGAGGAAGGTGAACTGGATGGACCTTGGTCTTCTTTCGCCAGCAAATTCTTATGTTCTTATGTGTAAATGTAATTTTTCGTGGTTGTATCGCTGGGGGAGGCAAAGGGTAGAGTCCCTGTACTCACCAGTCCTGCACAGCATTGAACGACTCCTGGTTTGTGATATCGTACATCAGGAGGAATCCCATCGCTCCTCTATAATAAGCCGTAGTGATGGTTCGATAGCGCTCCTGACCAGCTGTGTCCTAGGGAAAGACAGAATTATAATAATGATAATAATGGACGAAACCTCAGGCAAGTTTCCTTGCTCCACACGCACTCAAGGCTCAGGAGCCCCCTCGCCTTGTCTTATCATCGCTAATGTTCATTTCTCTAACCTTTAAGGGTGGATGTTTGGAGCCAAAATTAAATTCAAAAATCAGCTGAGATGCCGCACGACAAAGCGCTATTTCCCATCATCACGCGTCAGAGATGCAGGTCTGGTCCCCAAGGCTCTGAGTGCATCAGCAACCAGCTTAGGCTCTAATCCATCACTCCAAACACACTGCCCAATTATAGGAAGTGACTAGTTGGCCAAGTTCCAAAAACTGCAGAGAAAGAGACACAATGCAGGCGTGCGTCCCTCTAGTCCAGCTCAGCCTCTGCTGCTAGTGTTACGGTGACTGAGAGTCCTGTAGCTCGGTGGTTAGAGCACTCGCCTCACAAGCGAGAGGACCCGGGTTCGATTCCCGGTCAAGTTGGGACAAAACCTTAGGCGAGTTTCCTTACTTACTCTATACACACGCACACACACACCTCTGTTTACCTAGCAGTAAGTGGGAACACAGTTGTGAGTCGAATGGCAGATCGGTTTACGGAGGTAATAATCCCAAAATATGGTCACTCACTCAATCGATCCACGACTGTTTGTGGGGACACAAAATATACAGTCAATTCACTTTACAGTGTGGCCTGTGAAGCGCCTTGAGACGCCTCGAAGACGTGACGAGGCCAGGATCAAATGCCAGGATTACTATTCCAAATTATTAATTTCCCTAAAACCAGCTTCTGCCAGGCTTCTGACGCAGGGCGGAGATGCTCATTGAACGAGAAGGACGACAGTTCCGACGATTTAATCTCAGTCGCCACGGAAACCTGCATCCAAACACTGCCGGTGTCCTGGCAACCTACGCTGGACCCAGGTGCAGAAAATAGCACAGACCCAAATGGAGGACAGAGGAAAAATCAGCAACAGATCAAGAGACAAAGCGATGGAGGCTGAGTCATGGAATTAGGTCAACTGGAGTGCGTAGGTTGGTGGGGGAGGGCAGGGAGGGGGGTTGGGGGGATAAATGATAGGAGAGACGTTCCATTCGGCTCCTGTTCCTTCACCTCACTCTCTCCCTTCCTTCTTTCAAGGCCCATCCTCGCCCGACTCCACTGGACCACCCCCCCCCCATCACTCAGAGGATACAGTTCAAGTTCCTTGTCCTCACCTTCAAAGCCCTCCACGGCCTCGCTCCTCCCAACCTCCGGGACCTCCTAACTTCCTACCAACCACCCTCCGCTCAGTGGGCTGCGGCCTCCCTCACGTTCCCCCGCCTCGCTCGCCTCACCGTTGGCCTTCAGCCTCTCTGCTCCCACCCCCTGGAACTCCATCCCACAGTCCCTCCACCTCAGCCCCTCCCTTGCTCCTTCAACATCAGTCTCAAGACCTTCCTCTTCGGTCACCTTCCTACCTCCAGCCTCCCTGCGCTCCTCCCCTCCTGATCCCAACTCTCAAACCCGCCGGGTGGAGAGGGTGGTAAAGTCACCACTACACACACCCCCACCCTACCCCATTCCCCACTCCCCCAACGCTAAGTTCAAATATTTTTGTCCCGAAAAGAGCTACTTCTGACCCTGCCGCCTGCACCACCCAACAGTGGCGGATTGGGGCGAAATGCTGGAAAATGCAACCCTGCAGCTCGTGATGATTATCACATCATATCACATTCCACATTCTTTCAACCCTCCTAAAAACACAACAGACCCTTCAAATCTCCTCCGACGCCTTCGACCTGACTGCCAGGAGGAGGCCTGTAGCTGGTTCCTCTCTCCCTACGCCCTCTCTGTACACACTTGGGGATTAAGGAGTGGGTGAGGAGTGAGTCAACCCAGGTTTCGAAATACACAGCCGACACAGGACGATTTGTGGTTCGAAGGGAGTGCAAATACCAGAGAGATCTTGCGCGAGGTGTATTCTGTGGGACATCGCTGAGCACAATTGTGCTGCCGCGTTTGACCACAAAATACAGTCACTCCATTTGACGGTATATCCTGAAGCGCATTGAGACATCCTTCCGACAAGGAATCCTCGTATTTCATACAGCGCCTTAACATTTTTTTCCCCAAAATTCTCTCTGTCTCCCTCTCTCTCTCCTCTCACCCCCCAACTCTCCCTCTCTGGCCCTGTTAAAATTGATGAAAGTCTCAGTCTGTCGCAGTTGGAGAGAGAGATATAGAGAGAGAGATAGTGCCACATTATCAGAGGAGATGTCCATCAGATAAGACATTGAACCAAGCTTCCGCCCATCCATGCTCTGTTCAGGCGGACGTTAAAGATTCCCTTATGACGCTCTGTGAAAAGAGGAGTTTCTCTCTCTCTCCCTCCCTCCCTCTCTCTCCTTTTCTCTCTATATATAATAATCCTTGAATTTGATACAGAGCCATATTGGGTTTTCTAGATGTCTCAAAGTCACTTCAAGGTGACTGTATATTTTGTGGGTGAGCACTTCCTCTATTCACATCTAAACAGTGAGGCTGTTGCAATCTATATCAGACCCGAACATGTTGGGACAATTCTCCAAACACAACATCAATTCGGTTTCCACCCAACAGTCTACAGTCACCGAGCAGTCAGCCAACAAAGCAACAAAACTCGTTCAGTCCATCCGAGAAGAGGAGAGAATTGTTGTGAAACAAGTGATAACAGGTCTAGAAAACAACAATCTTGCTACGTACCATTATTATGAAGTTGGGGGAAGTTCAATGTACATGTTAACCTCGTTCCCCCCAAAATAAGGCACAGAATGACACGGGGCTTGCACCGAAACAGCAACAACAAGTTGCACTTACACCGCGCCATTCATGCAGGGTAGTGTCCCAAAGCGCTTGACAGTGGCAGAGTCTGACCCCGAGCTAAGGGGAGAAGGAGGGAGGTAGGGGGGGAGGTTGAAGGGATGGAGGGAGAGCGTTCCAGACTTTCGGGGCCTAGTGGCTGAAGCTAAGGCCGCCAATGGTGGAGCGGAGGGAGCGAGGGACGTACAGGAGAAAAGAGAGCGAGAGAGAAAGAAAGAGACAGATAAAGCGCTCGAGGCCTCACCCAGATCTGGAGCTTGACTCTCTTCTCATTTCGATAGACAGTCTTGACCTTGAAATCGATGCCCACTGTACTGACGAAGGCCGAGGTGAAGGAGTCATCGGCGTAGCGGAACAGGAAGGATGTCTTGCCCACGCTGCTGTTGCCGATAATCAGCAGTTTGAACATGTAGTCAAAGTTCTGATCGGCTGCATCCTTCTGCACCTGTCTCGAGTCGTTCGCTGAAGCCATCTGGTGGACACAACAACAACAGCTTTCAACAACCAACCAAACCAACAGCCAACATCATGGACTCCTGTAGCTCAATGGTTAGAGTGCTCACCTCACAAGCGAGAGGACCTGGATTGAATTCCCGCCCCGGCAGATTTGGGTGAAATATTGGGCAAGTTTCCTTGCTCCACACACACGCCTCTGTTTACCCAGCAGTAGGTAGGAACCTGGTTGTTAAATTGGTGACTCAATCCATGACTGTTTGTGGGACACTACTTTGTCCAATCGACTGCCACATTTCGCCCACAAATTATACAGTCACTACACTTTAAAGTGTATTCTGTGAAGCGCTTTGAGACGTCTAGAAGGCACGATGAGGTGCAATATCAAATGCTAGGATGATTATGATTATTAAATTACATTTGCAACAGCATCTTTCACGTCAGGAGGACGTCCCAAGGAGCTGGACAGTCGGGGATTTGGACCCAAGTCGAGGGTTGGGATCAGGAGAGGTGAAGGGCGGGGAGGGTAGGGGAAGGAGGGTGACCGAAGGCACAGTCGAAGAGGAGGGTCTTAAGTCGGGTCTTGAAGGAGGCGAGGGAGGGGGCGAGGCGGAGGGACAGTGGAATGGAGTTAACATTATAACTGGTGAGAAAAAATTCATTCTGAGGTCCCTTCTCCCAAAGGCTCTTAATCAATTTGACGGGAGGATTTTGCCAGGACTGGATTGTCATTGATTGATTGAATTGGGTTGCTGTGAGATTGACTGGTTTGCTTTAGCGCACGCACCATACGCACACATATTGCCTCCCCCTCTCTCTTTCGAGCTCTCTCTCTCTGCCCTCTGCAGCGCTAAGAATTGCTGAACTAAGCAAAGAACATTGCTAAGGAGAACAATCTGCTGCATGTCAGTCTCAAGCTGTGTTACCGCAGTGAAATGTAACAGAAACCGAATTCACTGGGATGGGAATGCAGGGTCTGCATTAAAGTTAGACCCCAGGGATCGAGCTACTGGCATTTTCGCACGTCATTATTAAATTAACATTAATCCTTACATTTCACATAGCGCCTTTGATGTATCACGTCGTTGAGACGTCTCAAAGCGCTTCGTAGAACGTAATAGTAACGATAATCCTTGCATTTGACCTAGCACATTTGTCGCGTCTTCCTAGACGTCGCAGAATAGACTATAAAGTGAACTGACTGTATGATCGTACCGTAAAAGGGATCGACTATTTTGTGGGCGAAACGCGGCAGCCAACTGCGCGCAGCAGTGTCCCACAAACAGTCGTGGATTGAGTCAATTTTTGAGTGGAGGAAAATGAACTCCCTTCTCTTCCCCCGATAGAATCTCGGAGGCTTCCGACGTCGGCCGCAACAGGACAACAACAACTTACAACTCCCTTCATGCCCGAGCACTTAACAGTGGCGGAATCTGACTCTGAGCCGGGCGGAGGGAGGGAGGGGGGGGGAAGGGAGGGAGGGGGCAGGTGAACGTAAAGCGCTTCACAGGATTCGCTGGAGAGTGAATTGACTGTATAGTTTGTGGGCGAAAGGCGGCAGCCAATTGCGCACGGCAGAGTCAGAAGACAAGAGCCTTTCACGTCAGTGTTGGTTGAGGGCAATGGCCTTGTTTGCTTTTGCAAACCACAAAGCTGTTCACCCGCTTGCTTTTTGGTCCACCTCTCATTACGGTCAGACCACTTGACTGCCAACAAAGCAACATAACAAGGCCATAGAGAGTCACCGTAGTGAAAATGATTTTGTTTTTAGGGTCCAGCTGGGTATCTTGACACACGTGGAAACCCGTCAGCGTTGCTTAAGAGTCTCCAAACCCAACTGAGAATTCCACGGCGAAAGGGGTGAGAACACCACATTGTCAAAAGCCCCCGTCCTTCAAGTTAGACACGGGGCTTGAAACCACGTTAGGCGAGAACGCTAGCGACTGAGCCAGGCCAACAAGTCACTGCACTTAAAAGTCGCTGATTGAGTGTAGCGATGGATGCAATTCAGACGAATGCCTCAAAAGGCATTATTATTATGATTATTGATTATTTTATTGGACGCCTGGCTGGTCGCAGTCTCGTCTATGAATCATGTTCTGTCTGGGACAGAAATCTCAAAGACACTGTTCAGCGCTGGGTGTCTGTCTTACTCAGAGATTTCCGCAGCGCTGTATAAAACAGTCTATTAGCCTGATTGAAAAGACTGAATCACAGTGATTGATCTAATTAGACAATTTCCCCACATTCACCTTGAGGAAGGAACCCAGAGAGGGCTCAGTCTGCGAGCACTGAATCACACAACCTTCACAGCACATCAGACATTTTTTTTTGGCTTATCGTTTCATACAGCTTTATCGTGTCGGTGCTGCTACTCGCCCCCCCACCCTGCACCCCACACTGGAGCTCTCTCCCATTCCCCCGTTCTCTCCCCACATCGTGTCTGTGTTGACGCTCGCTTCCCCCCGCACTAGAGCTTTCTACCTTAATCCCTTTTCTCTGCTCTTTTGGTTTAACCGTACATGACTCCTCAAATAACGTATTATTAATAATAATAACAATAATCCCTGCATTCGATATAGGCAGCTTATTGTGTCGTCGAGACGTCTCAAAGCACTTCACGGAATCAACTGTAAAGTGGAGCGATTGTATATTTTATGGGCGAAACTCAGCAGCCAATTGCGCACAGCAAAACATCCCCACATACAGTCGCGGATTTGGAGTGACTAAATTATTATTATTATACACTGTAAAGGCATTATTACCCGCAGAAAGAATATAATAATAAATAATAATTCTTGCATCCGCTACAGCGTCTTAGCACCTCGTGTGCTTCACAGGATTTCATCTGTGACGTACAGTGACTGTATATTTCACAGGCAAATTTTGGCCCCCAATTTGCGCACACAGTGACTTCCCTACAAACAGCCACAAACCCAGTAACCCAAATTTATTTGGGTAATATTCAAATTTTTAAAAACGCTGCAATTTAAGAAGAATCACACAAACACACACACACCGAGAGAGATTTGCACGTCGCGGGGGAAGTCAGATGTGTTTGCTGGGTGGGGGGCAGTTGCTGTTTTATGATGGGTGGAGGGGGAGGGAGGGGAGTGTGGGTTTTTAAGACTTTTCCAAAACTAACGAGGCAACTCCTGATTTTCAGCGCCAAACCTACATCAAGCAATTTCTTTTTGGCCGGTCAGCCGGGTGTCTGACGCACTCGGAAACCCGTCATTGCTGCTCAAGAGTCTCCAAACCCAACAGAGAATTCCAGGCCTCCCAACCCACCTCCACACAGAAACCCCAGCGATAGATGTTTGGAATGGAACGCTCTCTCTCTCGCTCTCCCTGGAGGGACCCATCCTGCCTACCTAATTCCACAAAGTATTAAGGCGCAGGTCAGCGAGAGCCAAGCCTCGGGGGGGGGAGCCTTGCGTTGGGAGTAACTCCTGGAGGCTAACCATCTAAAACCGCATAGCTTTCCATTGAGAGCATTGTCTGGCCGGCTTTCCTGCTGTTTGTGCAGCTTGGACCACCTTCCCCGTTAGTTAAGTCAGTTAGTTAGGGCTTTGGCTGTGGGGTTAACAGGAGCTGAGGGGGGGGGGAAGATTCCCTGCCCCCGGTGACTAGTCTGCCCTTCCAGGTCCTGCCGATGAGCCAGACTGGGCTGGGCTTGAGCTGGAATACCGTGGACCCGCCTGGCTCAGGAACCGGACTAGAGAGCCCGTCACAGACATTACGATGCCAAACGTGTCACCTCGGGGCCAGTTCGGCTCTGAGGAGACCCCGGTTACCCTCCTCCAAGGAGGATAACAAGGGCTGAGTGGGAAGACTCCATCGCAAGCAAGACTGACTGACTGACTGAGTGACTGAGAGGGAGAACCAGGAAGTCCTGGCCAGTTTGCCTACGTTGATTGCAGTATTTACATAGCTAACCTTGCGTGGCACAGTTAATCACAGAGAGAGATAGACTCCCCCTCTCTCTTTCTCTCCCTCTCTCTCTCTCTCTCTGTCTCTCTCTCCCTCCTTCCTCCCCTCTCCCTTGAAGTTTGTAATTAATGGCTTGTGTACACCCATCAGCCACACACCAGCAGGTCACAAAGTATTGCAGTTTGCATTTCACACACATAAAAGCTCAACAGAATAACTGTTGCCACACCAGTGCCAACACGTAAGGCTCTCTTTGCTGCTCTCTCTGTCTTTGCTCTCTCTCTCTCTCTCTTTCTCCCCCAACACACCATCTGCTAAATTGATAGGCAAATTTAACCCATGTTTTGACAAGCAAATTAAATAAACCCACGTTTGCAAGTCAGGGCAGAGGATCGTCCTCTCGTCTCCCCTTCTCTCAAGACTGACTTGACAAATTATATATATGTTTGTATATATATATATATATACACATAAAACACCTTCCTGCACCATCCCCAGTACTTAACTGCTGACGAGACACAAACCCAGAGAAACATTGGAGGGGGGGAACGAGATTCAATTTGATTACTAAATAAATTGCACATTTTTATAAGGACCAATGCAAAAAAACACACATACATATGTCCACACACACACATATATATCCACACACATACCAGACACACACTGACACAGACACACACTGACACAGACACACACACACACACAGAAGTGCAATGGCTCTATCCCTGTCCCAAAGCCAAAGCTCGAGGGTTGGGAGCAAAAATATATCAATGATCAATTAACACAAGTCTCAAACATTACAGACACCAAAACTGTTTCACGAAGAAGAAAAAAAGCCACACCTCACACACACACATACACACACACACACACACACACCGATACGTCCTTTGAGTCGAAATATATGGCATTGCATCTGCGGAGTTTTAAAAAGAGTTAATATGTTTTTTTACACACACATCTACAAACATCAATTACAGACGCACAGACAAGAAAATAGGGTTCAGGTGAATCCAAATGGACAGAAAGAAAAACATCCTCTAACGAGACCTCACTGTGCAAAATGCAAAAAT